CTCAAAAGTCTGCTTATGGTATCTTGTTACATCTTCTCCAACTTGAGCCATGAGCTGTGTACCTCATCCTCACTCTTAATCACTACAGCAACATGGGCCAGCATTTTGAATTCCTTGCAGGAAGAGACCATTTGAAAAATTCCAAATCAAATATTCCCATGATAAAATATGAGATTAAAAACATACTAAGGTAAAATAAAATATTTTACTTTATTCCTTTTTAAATTTTGATAATATGATTTTTGTATCCCATTTATATCTATCAATGCTAAATTTCATAGTCAATGAAGATACAGCTCAAATTGGGTATTCACTGAATAGAATGACACATTATTCTTTGTAAAATAAAATTTTATTCCTTATAAGACCATTTGGTTACGTTTTTCTATGTTTTCCATACATATACTATAAGGAAGCATGCTATATTTTAAAACAGAGCCTTTTTTAGTTCTACTGTGTTACTTTTAAAGTTTTATTATTTTTAAAAACTTCTTGACTGACAATAGACACAATATCCCTTTCACAAAATTGAGGAAATATGGTTTAAAGAAATTAGGGATTTACATAGGAAGTCACAGATTTAAGAGTGAAGACATTCAAGTCTTGAGGCTCCAAAAGCTTTACCTACATTTTTCTTTGATGTACCAGGATATTTGGTTTTCATCTTCAGCTTCTCATAGGGTTCAGGCTAAAACTATTATACTTTCGAGAAATTTGGATAAAATGTTTAATTCCTCAATATTTATAGCACATTATTACACAAACAACTCCTAAATTACTCTATGGATGTAGCAATTCACTGTCATGTTTGTATTTAAATCTGAAAAAGCACAATCTAAAGCAGACTTTTATTCCCCCACTGCCAATTATAAAATCAGTTAATTTTTTAAAATTTTTAATAAAAGTATATTGCTTTCGTATTGTTTCCCTGTGTCTTCTCTGACTCATATGGAAAACCATCCATAATTGAATAAAAGTATTAAATTACATACTTTTCTCATTCATAGTAAGTAAGTAATATTTCTTCAGTGAATAGTTTATTGGACACCTATTGCATATATGGCATAATTCTTAATGCATGGACATTAAAAACACATGGGAGTGGAAAATAAATGGGTCCCCCTCTGTCCTCAATGGACTAACAATCTATTTGAGAAGACAAAGCATTTTACTTGTAGAGAGAGAAATGTTTTTGTTGGATGTAGGGGGGGTCAAGGAAGGGTGATATTCCTAATAGATGTAGATTAGGTGGCATCTGTGATTATACAGAAAAAATCATGAGTAGCATGTAGTAGTAGAAAGACAAGAATGTTGGAAGGGCAACTAATAAAGTTATTTAGAGTGTCAAAGCTTATTCCCAGGCTTACTTGAAACATGGAGTTGTCCCAGAAATAGACAGTAAGGAGAGGTGTGGGCTACTCTTTTCCTTCTGTCAATTAGACTTTCAATTTAGTGCAGCCTACTGAAAGGAAGTTATATTCATGGAATTAGTGCCAAAACTGTATTTAAGTCAACCATTCGCAGGTTACTGTAGATGATACCAAAAATTAGGTAGACCCTCCTGCCATCTAGAAGTTTATGGTGTAGTGGAGATTAGACAAGTATGAAAATGACTAATACAAAGTAGAACGAGGTAAGAATGAAGTCATAGGACATGAGATGAAGACTGTGGCAGATTTCATTTTCCAAAAGTGGTCAGAGCAGTATTTGTGTCCCATATGCTCTTTCAGAACCTTGCCACACTCCCACTAGAGTTGGAGCCTATTTCCCTTTCCTCTTGAACTGAGCAGGCCTCTGTGCCTGCCTATGTCAATACAGTGCACTGAAAGTGACGCTGTGTCACTTCCAAAGACATGACTTGGCAGCCAGCTGCCATGTTGTGAGAAAGCCCAGGCCACGTGGAGAAGGCCCATGGGATGTTGGAGCTGATAGCTTCACCTGAAGCCAGCCGACAGCCAGCACCAAATGTCAAACTTGCAAGTGAGAGAGCCTTCTGATAATCTGGAGCTGTCCCGGATGACCTCAAGTGGAGCTGACCCATTCAAACCATATGTGTGTGTGTGTGTGTGTGTGTGTGTGTGAGTGTGAGAGAGAGAGAGAGAGAGAGAGAGAGAGGGAGAGAGAGAGAGAGACACTGATTATTAAAGTGGTCAGGAGAGATTTTAATCAGTAATATTATACTGCAGTAGGAAAAACAGTCCTGCTTAAACTCACTTTAATTTTTAGAGGCAACTGTGCAGTTTAGGGGAATGAGAAAACAGGGAGGAGGTGAGTGGGTGCTCATAGGGTTAGGAAAGTTGAAAATTACAAAAAGCAGGAAGGAGGATTTGGTTCACATGAAACACATCTGGGTTTGTTAACAAACTGATGGAAGTTAGGCACCTACCCTCCGACTAAGGCTGGGAGACAGAGACCCTACCTTCAGGTGTTGCCTGGAACAAAAGGTAAATTCTGAGCGTTCCCAGGCAGATATTTTAAGGGTGGGCAGGGTGACCCTAGGGATGGAGCTGTTAGAAAATGTTAGTGTTTGTTCAAGTCTTTATAGGCTAACGTAAGGCCTAGTGGAGAAAGGGCTCAGAGGAGTCTGGCTAGCTAGAGTTTGCTCTAGGAGAGAATCCCCCACACACAAGTATTTTGTTTCCTTCTAGTACAGAGACATAAGTATTAGAACAGATCATTGGATTATGAGGCAGGATAGTAAGAAGCTAGGGAAATTCCTTGACGAGAGGAATAAGGGAAACTGAGACAAAATAATTAAACAATTTGAGTTTAGAGTCAGCTAATAAATCACAAGAACACTTAGTAGCAAATGGTTTACACATTTCAGACTGTCCCAGGGCAGACCAGCCTCAGTCCCAGCCCCTCTTTAATAATGTTCTTTAAAAATAAAACTAATCAGAAAACAACCCTGGCCCCTTTACATTCTGATAAATCAACATATTGAAAGACATGTCTGAAACACTAATGAATATTCTGTTAAGACCTTCCCCAGACACCTCCCTAGGATTTCTGCCGAAGGAAGATAAAAAGGATCCGGCGCAAGCTTTCTCCCTAGAGCACTCCCACCTCTCCCTTCCCGTACTTCTTCCCCCGCAGTGTGAGCAATGCTCACCTGTCGGAATTCAAATAATGGATGTGGAGACAGAAGTATGGCGAAAGCGAGACTTTAAATTCATGCTGGAGAGCGGGCCTCTGGTTGTACAGGCACACATGGAGTAGCCAAAGTACAAGTCCCTCCTCTGGTTCCTCATTGGCTGAGTACTATGGATGAATAGTTTCCTCATAGGTCGCCCAGGGCTTATTGTCTCCCATTGGGCCATTGAAAAAAATGGGCTGAGGCCTTTCCTAGTTGTCTTCACCGCCCTCCCCCCCCCTTTATATGGGCGGGCACCTGGGAGGGTGGGGGGGGTTGTTTCTACCATGATGCTGACTCACATCTACAGTTCTTTGTTCTTACATCTCTTTCCCTCCCTCCATTCTGTTCACCCTGGGGAAATTCAGTAGCCGATTCCATTAAAAGTTGCCTAAGCTGGAGATGGATCACAGAGGCCTATTTCCTACAAGAGGCATGCACCTCCTAAATTCTAAAGGACCCAGGAGCCTTGCAACCAGGGTAGCAGCTGGACCTGAACCCATCTCCAAGGCCCCCTTCCCTGACTGTCTCCTGTGGCTTCCCCTACCTTAAGCCCTTTCTTTGTTTCACTGTCCCCAGCTTTAATAAACATGCTCTCAAGATCACCTACACTCCTGTTGTGAAATCCTACACGAAGTCAAGAACCCACACCCTGCCCTTAGGCCAGGCAGACCCGCCCTGGGTAACAATGACAGGTCATTAGTGAAGCTTGAAATAACTTGTTTCAGCAGATGTTAGAGAAGTTACACTGCAGGGGTTTAACATTCGAGTTTGGAAAATACATGAGACCTTCTATGTGTCCATCTTAGCTTAACTTCACACCTGCAGGATGTGGTTATCATCCTTATTTTACCCATGCAGCTCAGAAAGGCTAATTGCCCGAAGCCATTAAGTAGGGAAGGGATTCAAATTCGGAGCGGGTTGGCTAATTTCTAAACCCTGTACACTTCCTGTTTCACCATGCTGTCCAAGGAGGGATAAAAACCTAGTCCGGGGGCAAAATCCTGATCCTTCCATTTTGGAGAAGCTGCGGGAGCCCACGTAGTACACAGTGGGATTGCACAAGATGTTAATTTTATAAAGTGTCACAACTTTTTGAAAACTTCCCAGAGAGGATGGGAGCACATTAAAAAGGCTATTGGGGCCACGCTGGCTCTCGGGGCGGCCCAGGTCCAGGCTTCAGGAAGGAACCGGCCTGTGTTCCTGGCACCGGGCCCTGACCTGCCCCCTCGTGGCTGTCACGGAAACCACACCCGCTCGACGCCGAGCTCGGACACGTGCTCGCAGAGGAAAGGCCCGAGCTGCCGCGGGCTCCGGAGGCTCGGGGTCCCGGCGCCGCACGCGCACAGCAGCGTCGGCCCGCCACGCGGAGGACGTAGGCGCTGGCGCCCAGGGCCCGGCCCCAGGGGGCGGGGCGACGCGAGCCGCACGCGGGCCACGTGACCGAAGGCGGAGTCTGCGCGCAGCCGCCAGACCGCGTCGGCAGCGGCGCAGAGGCCCAGCCGGGAGACCGGGAGGAGACCGCGCCGAGCCGCCGTGCCCGGTGGGCCGCCCAGCCGCCGCCATGGGCAGTGAGTAGAGGCGGCGCGGCCGGGCTCGCCGGGCGGTCCGGAGCGGGGCCGTCGCCCAGGGCGCGGGGCGCTGGCTGCGGGCGGTGGGGCTGCGCCCGCTCGGGTGTCCAGCCCGCCGGCCGGGGAGGCGCGGGCCGCTGCGTAGCGCGTGGGCGGGAGGCCTCCACGGAGGCTCCTGCAACCTTGGCGAGGCCTTGCCGGGGCCACGGGGGCCGGGACCGCGGGCCCTGTGTGCGCTCCAGGCGGCGAGGCGCGGAGGCCGGCGCGGGGAGGCTGCTGGTGTTTGGGGCGGGCAGAGAGCCCGGCGAAACCTGGACAACTTTGAATTTTTCAGGAGCTGAAAAAGCTCATTTTTATTGCCCAATCACCCCTCCTTGACATGTTAGTTGTGATGAATAAAGCTCTCTGACTTGTTTAATTTTAGAAAAGTGATGCATGTCACGTATTTTAGGGGAAGCAATGAGTACGTTGGGAGCATCACGTTCCCCTTAAAATTTTAATTTCAGTCATTCTGAGGCGTTTACTGAAAGCTCGCTCTGTGTATAAGGTTTAAGCCTTAAGGACAAGGCCTTTGTCTTATGGGGATCTTTTCAGGCCCCCCTCAACACTCACCATCACATGCATTACATAGCTGTTCGGATGTTTTTAGGATGAATAGGTAACTGCACGTCCAAGTGTGCGCCCATTGCCCAACTAGTGGACTGTTCGGGGAAGCTAGGAAGGAAGTGGAGGAGACCCTGTCCTTTAATTTACAGCAGAATGGGTGAAGTTCTGCAGCTCAGGAGTGGACGTGTGGCATACAGAAGCAGTGCTTGGCCGCGAATGCGGAAGTGCTCATGACAGGTCAACAAATCTGGGAGGGTGGCTTGGATGGAGGTGGGATGGGAAGGGATAAAGGGGCTGTAGGCAGTTTCCTGGGGTAATTGCTATTGGTTTTGCACCAGAGATGAACACTTTCAGGTTCAGATAGTCCCAAATGGTATCGGTTACAAACATCTGCCCATGAGAATTTCAGAATTCTATCAAATAAGCCTGTGAGTGCCATCCTTTCGAGAGGTTTTATAAAACAAGATAGATTTTGGCCAACTGCTGAAGTGTAATTGTCAGTTTTAAAACAATTTCATGATACTAGTACAGAATGCAGTGTGTCTAGGGGGAAGACGATCATAACTTGTTGAGGCCTCGTGTTTCTGTACATTGCAGATGCTGGCCAAGCCTGAACTCCATCCTCCAGTTTTTTGGCAGGGCTTGACTTCAGTCATGCCAGAAGATGGTGTCTCCTTAAAGAACCTTGGTTTATCTTATAATATTACTAGAGGCCCGGTGCACGGGTTCGTGCACTGGTGGGGTCGGGTCCCTTGGCCTGCTCTGCAGGGATCTGGCCGAAACGGGCTCTCCAACATCCCCCGAGGAGTCCCGGGTTGGGAGAGTGCGGTTCTCGGGTGATGCACCCCGGCATTGGGCTCCCTCCTCTGGTTCTGGGTGCGTCACCCGAGAACCGTAGCTGCCAAATCACCGCAGCTCAGCAGCTCCTGCGTTGAGTGTCTGCCCCATGGTGGTCAGCACGTCATAGCTACTGGTCAGATGGTTGAATAGTCAGACGGCCACTTAGGCTTGTGAGTGTGCGTGTGCACGCGCGTGTGTGTGTGTGTGTATTAGAGGCTTGATGCATGAAGATTCGTGAAAGAATGGGCCTTCCTTTCCCTGGCTACCGGCACCCCTTTGCTCGGGCCGGAGCTGCCTTCCCATGCTGCCTAGAGGCCCGGAGCGGCTGGGGTGGTGCAGAACGCCTGTGTCGTCACCATGGCAACGACGCAAGCGTCCCACCCCGCCCCCGGCCATTCGGCACCTGCGAACGCACATTAACCCGCCATCTTTGTTGGGTTAATTTGCATACTCCTGATTGGCTGGTGGGCATTGTGAAGGTAAGGTCAATTTGCATCTTTCTCTTTTATTAGTGTGGATATACTAGAGGCCCAGTGCATGAAATTTGTGCACAGGTAGGGTCCTTAGTGACTGCTTGTTGCCGGCTGGGGCCTCCCTTCCCACGGCTGCCGGCTGCTGCCACTGGCCAGGGTGGGGCCTGCAAGTGGGAGGGGCTGAGGGCAGTTGGCTGGCTGGCCCCACCCTCTGGTCAAACTCCTGGTCAAGGGGACAATTTGCATATTAGGCTTTTATTATATAGGATAGATAAATTTGGGAAAACAATACTGTCTGGTGAAATGTAATCGTCATTCTCTGGGCTGTTTATTGTACATAAGCAAGTACTCAGATCGTTATGTGGGAAAGCAACCAAGCAATAAATAATGAGTTAATGAAATGAAGTTGAAGTTATGTATAAAGATGATTCCATGATCTTGCGCACTCTTTGCATCATCTTTCAGTTTAAATAAATCATATCTGCAGTTTCAGCTCATTTCCTGTTGTACTTTCCCTCCTCTGATGTCTCTTATTTTCTTCTTGAAAGCATTGTGTTGTGGGTACCACAGTAAGCTGCATTTGCTTTTTTTTTTTTTTTTTTAATGTAGTTGTACTCATTGAATTATTTCTTTATATATAAAAGGGCTGGATACAATCATGAGGAAGCAAAATCAGGATTTTACAGACTGAGCCCTTAAACCTTTTGAATTTTTTTTTACTCTAGAATTATTTCTCTTCCTTTCTATATTTGAAATGGAGAGCATTATGATTAATTTTGGGAGTGGGGAATGGGAGGGATTGCCATTACAAGTTGGAGAACATTTGCATTTGATTCTGTAAAAAGATAATATATATTTTTAAAACTATGTAATAGGAACATTTATTCTTTTTTTTTTCCACAGTCAAATTTTTAGAAGTTATCAAACCTTTCTGTGCTGTTCTACCAGAAATTCAGAAACCTGAAAGGAAAGTAAGTATAATATTTTAGTAATATAGAAGGTAACTAAAGGACTTACTCTGCTAAACTAGCAAGATTGATTTATTTTCCCCAACCCTAGTGTGGTTGTACTTGGAAAAATATTGCCTGTTCCTCCTCCTTGCAAGAGGCATGAAGTGAATAGAACTAGTACAGACCTGTTTACATAGTTTATCTTGTGGTTTCAAAAATAATTGTTCTTTAAGTTCTAACATTTCCAAACCAAGTGTTTTTTTTTGACCTGTGTGTTAGGTAAGATATAATGTTTCCCTGTCTGTAATGATCTTTATAATTCCTGTAGTATGAGGTATGTGCTGTGCTTGCTGGTGGTATGATTCACTGCCATTCTATGAATGGCCTTATCTGTTTTGATAAGTACAGCTGTTTTACATAAATGAATTACAGCTTTGCAAGTATATATGTTCCATTTTTTATTCATTTAATGCAAAGAGAAATCACAGGAATGCATTCGGAAGATATTGTGACTTCATCAAATTGTTCTTCCATCATTGCCTGCTTTTGGAGATAGGGTATTTCAATTCCAGAAATATTGTTAATCCCCAACTGGCCAGTTCCCAGGCATTCCTCTTCTACTGTAATTTCGATTTCTCATGAAAATAACAGGCATAGGGACGTAAAAAGAGATAAGTAAAACTTTTGTTAAACTTTTTTATTTAGAAGTATATTCCTTTTTCATTTCTTTGATGTTATAAAAATAGATGTTCATATAATATTACATGAGGTCCTAGCTTTGCACAATACTAGAATAACTGAAATGCATGCATATTGGATTGTGTCTTGCTTTGCATCATTTTCAGTTTTAGTTAACATGGTATAATGTGATGGGGACTACCTGTATTTAAATTATTCTTGAAATAATAAAATTATGTTTAAAAAATAAACGTTATGTTTGAGAAGTTCTGTTGTTTGCTTTAGCTGCTGCTAACTCGGGTGAGAGTATTTTAAGACTTAAAAATAGCATGTCATGATGGGGAATGTTGGCTATGCTTTAATAGGGGTTTTTGCTATATATTTGCTTTTTCTTGTTTTTTTATTGACTATTCTTTATCTTTTGTTGTAAGATCCAGTTTAGAGAGAAAGTACTATGGACTGCTATAACTCTCTTCATTTTCTTAGTATGTTGTCAGGTATGTAACCATACTATTAAATAAATGTGTATACTCTTGTTCTAAGGGTTTGGTTGGTTAGATTCTGAAGAACTTATTTTAGATAAAAAATATACTGAATGATTTTGAGCATTTTTTTTTTAATGAGTTGATAGTGAAAATGGTTGTCTTGTCTCACTCTGTATTTCTTTTGGTTTATTAGTGGGTTTGAACATTTTCTCTTTTTTTCCCTCTTAGTTTTCAGTTACCTATTTTTCCCTTGAGATTTTTTTCTTACTGATTTATGACAGGTTTTAAATATGAAAGTGTTAAACCTTTGACTTATATATTAGTCATATATATTCTTTCCATTTTGTTTGCCTTTTATCATGTTGTAGATAGCATGTATTAATTTAAAAATCCCAAAATGCCAAATTTTAGAATCCCATGGATATCCTGTGTTTATAAATTAATAAAATTCAGTGATGCTTTAAAAATTTTTTCTTCAGAGATTAAGTTCATGAAATATATGACCTGTCCATGTCACAGGGTTGTTGTGAGGATTTAGATAAATAATTTAGGTGAAAACTTTTGGAGGATTTTGAAAAGCTATCGAAATACATACAAGTTTTTTTGTTAATCCTCACCAAAGGATATTTTTTCCATTGACTAATTTGAGAGAGAGAGAGAGAGAGAGAGAGAGAGAGAGAGAGAGAGAGACATCGATGTGAGAGACACACATTGATTGGTTGCCTCCTGTACTTGACCCCCCCCCCCCCCCCCCCCCCCCGGTGGCAGGGAATTGCAACCTGGTATGTGTCTTGATCCGGAATCAAACCTGAGACCCTTTGGTGCTCGGGCGGATGCTCCAACCACTGAATCACCACACCAGCTAGGGCAGAAGACGTTTTTAAAAATTGTATTAAGAAGCAGTAAAATAATTATAGGAAAAATCGTGTGTGTGTGTGTGTGTGTGTGTGTGTATGCATATATATATATATATATATATATATGTATATATATGGCTTTATATATTACCTATAATAATAATCTATAATAATAGAAAGGTGATATGCTAATTAGACTGGACGCCCTTTCTGACAAAGCTGGGGCCGGAGGGGAAATCAGCCTGGGTCCCGGGTGCCTGTGGGATGCCCAAGGGAAGCCAGCCTGGGTCCTCGGTGCCTGAGGGTGGCTGGAGGAGGGAAGCAGCCCAGGTCCCAGGTGCCTGTGGGTGGCCGGAGGAGGGAAGGAGTCCGGGTCCTGGGTGCCAGGGGGAAGCCGGTGCTGGCAGCTGGGGGAAGGAAGGCCTACTCTTGCGTGAATTTTTGTGCATCTGTCCTCTAGTATTTATATATTTATATTTATTTTAACCCTCACCCAAGGATATTTTTCCATTGATTTTTTAGAGAGAGTGGAAGAGAGAGGGAAAGATAGAAATATCAATGTGAGAGAAACACATTGATTGGTTGTCTCCTTCAGAGCCCAGGCCAGGGAGGATCCTGCGACTGAGGTACGTGCCCTTGACTGGAATTGAACCTGGGACCCTTTGGTCTGCAGGCCAATGCTCTATCCACTGAGCCAAATTGGCTAGGGCCGCGGTCGGCAAACTGCAGCTCGCGAGCCACATGTGGCTCTTTGGCCCCTTGAGTATGGCTCTTCCACAAAATACCACGGTCCATAAGACCGTTTGTGGACATGCTTACATTTCTCTTGGATGAATACCTAGGAATAGAATTGCAGTGTGCACGTACAGTGCGATTGAAACTTCGTGGCCCATGCGCAGAAGTTGGTTTTCGGCCAGTACTGTTGATATTTGGCTCTGTTGACTAATGAATTTGCTGACCACTGGGCTAGGGCCAAATATATTTTTTTTTTTGAAGAGCAAAACAATTTGATCATTATTTTATCGTACTTAGTTTAAAATTGATTTGGGTGGTCAGGGAGAGAGAACTTTTTAAAAATGCAAAAAAGTGCAAAGAAAGGAAGCATAATCATCCATATCCCTATCATATACTTCAAACATCTTGGAAATTCCCCTTCCCTCTCTTTAAAAAAAAATCAGATTTATGAAGTTATAATTTATGTATGGTAAAATACACCCATTTTTTAAAGTACATTTTGAAAAAGTTTGGCAAACATACACCCACATACTTAGTACCTCAGTCGACGTAGAACATTTCTATCACTCCAGAAAGTTCCCTGCAACCTGTCTCAAAAAGCCTTACCTCACCTCCAGTCTCAGGCAACCACTGGTCTGTTTTCTGTTCTTGTAATTTGATTAATCTTTTCTAGAGTTTGATATAAATGTTATCATACAGTATTCTTAGTAGCTAACTTCATCATCAGCTTTTTGAGATTCATTCATGTTGTTGGTATAGCAGTGATATATCCCTTTTTATTTGTTAGTGATGTCTGTATCACAACTTGTTCATCTAGTCACTTGGACATTTGGGTTGTTTCCACATTTTGGTCATAGCAAATAACTTGCTGTAGATATTCATGAACAAGACCGTTTGTGGACATGCTTACATTTCTCTTGGATGAATACCTAGGAATAGAATTGCTGGATTGTATGGTAAATATATGCTCAACTTTGTAAGAAACTGTCAAATTCTTTTCCAAGTGGTCACCCCTCCACTCCCATATTTATATTCTTTTTTTTTTTAAATATATTTTATTGATTTTTTACAGAGAGGAAAGGAGAGGAATAGAGAGTTAGAAACATCGATGAGAGAGAAACATCGATCAGCTGCCTTCTGCACACTCCCTACTGGGGATGTGCCCGCAACCAAGGTACATGCCCTTGACTGGAATCGAACCTGGGACCCTTGAGTCCGCAGGCCGACGCTCTATCCACTGAGCCAAACCTGTCAGGGCTCCCATATTTATATTCTTACCAGCCAGGTATAGGAGTTCCAGTTGCTCTGCATCTTTGCCTATTCTTGCTGTTGTTAAGCATTTTAAATTAGCCCTTCCAATGGATGTGGTTTTAATTTGTGTTGCCCTGATAAAAGCTACTGAAGTTGTAATTTGCATTTCCCTAATAATATTGAGGAACTTTCTTGTGTACTTATTGGGTACTTGTTTGTCTTTTGTAAAGCTATCGAAGTACATAGAAGTTTTTTTTTGTTAATCCAAGGATATTTTCACTTAAATTATCTATTTATTCTTTTTGAGTCTCTTGCCCACTTGAAAAAATTGGATTATTGTCCCGTTATTGAATGATATACATTTTTAATATATTTTGTATACAAGTCCTTTGTCAGGTATATATAGTGAATATTTTCTGCTAGTCAATGGCTTGCCTTTTCATTTTCTTAATATCTTTTGAAGAGCAGAAGTTTTTAATTTTGATGATGTTTAAGTTATCTTTTTCTTTGATGGCTCATGGTTTTTGTTTCCTAGCTAAGAAATTTTTGCCTCTTCTAAGGTCATCAAGATTTTTCTCTTGTATTCTTCTAAATATCTTATAGTTTTAGCTTGTATATTTTGGTTAATTTTTGTGTATCACATGAGGTAAGGTTGGGGTTCACTTTTTTTTCTGAATGGATAGCCAGTTGTTGAAAAGGCTATCCTTTTTCTGATGTATTGATTTTCATCTTTGTTGAAAATCAATTAACCGTATACAGATGGATCTATTTCTGTACTGTCTGTTCTGTACCATTGACTTATGTCTATTTTTACAGTAGCCACACTATTTTGTTTACTGCAGCTTGATACTAAGTACTATAATCTGGTCATAATAGTCCTTCAACTTTGTTCTTCTTTTTCAGAATTCTAGGTTCTTCATATTTCCATATAGCTTTTAGAATCAGCTTATCAGTTTCTATAAAAAAGACTGCTGGGGTTATGATTTGTATTGCATTGAATTTATAGATCAATTTTGAGAGAAATACCATCTTGATAGTAGTGAATTTTCTAATCCAGAGGTCAGCAAACATTTTTCTGTAAAGGGCTAAATTACAAGTATTTTAAGTACAGTGTTACATTCCCCATGACTGTTTCATGCAGTACATTTATGCATTTTATGTTACTTTATTTTTCTTTCCATAATATGTTTACATAGTTGCCAAGCTCTATTGTTTTTTATTTTTTTATTTTATTGATTTCAGAGAGGAAGAGAGAGGGAGAGAGAAGCATCATTGATGAGAGAGAATCATTGATTGGCTGCTTCCTCTATGCTCGTACTATTCGGTATGAGCCTGCAACCTAGGCATGTGCTTTGACCAGGAATCGAACCGTGATCTCATGGTTCATAGGTCGATTTTTAACCAACCACTGAGCCACGCTGGCTGGGCCAAGCTGTATCTTTTTGACTTTCTCCTGTTTAGACAGTTCTCCTCAGTGTGGTGATTTCTTGATTCTCTTTCTTTCGAACCTCAAACAGCTTATTTCCCTTTCAGCCACAATTTCAGGGCTTGGTGTTTCCTTTTCTACCCTGTTTCTTTATTCCAGGGAATGGTGGAAGGTGTGATAAGCTGAAGTGAGTGCAGTACATGCTGCCTGGCTCTGCCCTCTCTCCTCAAATTTTTGTCGGTGTTTTGTGAGGATTCTCTCCATGTGACTGAGCAGGGCTCTCTCTGTTCCATTCCCCACTTTAGATCATTGCCCAATTCCCAAGTAGGTATGGGTCTATCATCGTCAATCCTGTCAAAGAGAGAAAGCCCCAAGGCCCACTTCTCTCATCATTTCTTTTTAGCTGTTTCTACTGCCCTCCTAGTCAAAGGAGGCAGAAAGATATCTGTGCAGCCTGCTCTTCTCCAGGCTGGAGTTGAAATGTATTGGGAATTCTAAAGCTTCTATTGCCTTCCCTTTATGATGGTTGGAGCAGCTTTGTTCTGAGTCTCTATGCTCCTCCACTGTCTGCTGTTTTCTTCCCCCTATGACCACCATTGTTTCAGGTTTATCATCGCTTTTCTTGTTTGGCTGCTTTATGGATTTTGTTTTCCTTAGCTTTTTATATTCTTATTAGCTTTTTACTATTTTACATGTTATTAAATATATGTTTTCTTGCCGAAACCGGTTTGGCTCAGTGGATAGAGTGTCGGCCTGTGGACTGAAAGGTCCCAGGTTTGATTCCGGTCAAGGGCATGTACCTGGGTTGCGGGCACATCCCCAGTAGATGTGCAGGAGGCAGCTGATCGATGTTTCTCTCTCTCTCATCGATGTTTCTAACTCTCTATCTCTCTCCCTCCCTCTCTGTAAAAAATCAATAAAAAAACAAAAAAACAAATATATGTTTTCTTGTGTCAGGGAGGGAAGTTCTGTAGTTTAATTGCAACTTACCATTTTAACCCAGAAATACCTTGTTTGGTTTTCAGTTCCCACCTCCTTTGGAAATTCCTAGTGCTAATTTTCTATTTGTCCATGTGGTTGGTTCAGGGTTTCCATTAAATCATTAAATTCTTGTTTCTCTGAAGTATTATATTGTATTTTATCAAATTGAAACCAATTATTATATGTAATAGTGAAAAGTTTGGAACTCTGCAACTGTGAGAGTCATAGAAAATAGCTCCTGTTGCCATCCAACTAATATACAAGATTCTGTACATGTACAATACTGAGTAATTTGTATAATTACTGAGTTTAATAATCCTGTTGACTACAGGAAAGGAAGGAAGGTTAGATCCCACATAGCATCTAAAAATGGAGGTATAGTGCCTGTCTCATCAGATGCAATTAAGGAAAGTAATTTGCGTGACCTATTTTCCACTTAGGAAATATTGTAATGTGGACTATTTGGTACTATTAATTTGCTGGGGTTTTTTTTTTGTGTGTGTTTTAAAAAAAATATGTATTTTTTTATTTCAGAGAGAAAGGAAGAGATAGACACATCAATGTTTTGAGGGAATCATTGTTCGGCTGCCTCCTGCACGCCCCCTACTGGGGATTAAGCCTGCAATCTGGGCACATGTCCTGACTGGGAATCGAACTGTGACCTCTGGCTCATGGGTTGACGTCCATTTTAATTCTTTTTCCGGAGTTTTGTTCTGTTCTTTCATTTGGGCACTTTTTTTTTTTTTGTCTACTCATTTTGGCAGCCTCCTGTGTTGGTTTCTATGTACTAGGTATAGCTGCTATGTCTCCTGGGCTTGGTAGAGTGGCCTAATGTACTAGGTGTCCTGTAGTGTCAAGTGGCACAGCCTTCCCAGTCACCCAAGCTGTCCAAGTGTGCCAACCCCCCTCTCCAGTGGGCTTTGTACACCTTCCCAGAGTTGAGCCTTCATGGTTGTTGGAATGTCAGTGGGAGGGATTTACCTGTGGAGGATGAGCTGTGCAAGGGCCTATCCCAGAGAGCAGGACTTACTTCAGAGGGGCTCTAGTGCCCATTGTGTTCGCCCCTTGAGTGTGTTGTTGTGGAGGTGGTTTGGTAGTGCTTTAGTGTGGTATGAAGCTGTCAATAGAGTGCGCTGGCTCTGGGGTCTCCTGGGAGGTGAAGGCCAAAGTCATCTGCCACCTGTGTTGTGGCCAGGGCCACCTAGCAAGAGCCATGAAGTGATCTGAAGATGGCTGTTACTTGTGCTGGGCTTGGAGGTACCCAATAAAGCCAAGCTGTGAACTAAGGCCAGCTGCTGGTATTTCTGCGTCTGGGGCCACTTAGCAAGAGGTGTGGGGCATACTTAGACCAGATGCTGCTTGTTTGAGAGATTTTAGAAAAGTCTTAATTGTGTGCCAGTACAGGCCATTTATATGAAAAAGCTGATGGAAACAGTTTTGTTGGCCCTGCAAGTTTGGTGGGGAGGAGTGTCAGGGATTCACCAGGGCAGGGGGAATAGTGTGAGCCAGGTTGATGGAAACTCAGATATGGTGCCTGCTTGCCATCTTTGTGAGGGGAGGGCTCATCAAAAGAACAGTAGCCTCTGCCAGCATTTTGTCTGGGAGAAAGCCCCCCCTCCCCTCCGCTTTTGCCCCACTACCAGACACTTCAGTTCCTCCCTCTATGTCCTTGGTACCTTTTGAGTTGCTATCCCAGTGCTGAATCTCAGAGGGAATGAGTCAGAGTAATAAGTCTGTGTGTAGGCCCTTTACAAGGAACTTCCTGGGATTCCAGCAACCTTTCCTCTCAGCCTCAATTCTCATTGGTTTTTACAGCCAGAAGTTATGGGGGTTTCTCTTCCTGAGACTGGAACCCTGGACGTGAGGGCCTGATGTGGGGCTGGGACCCTTTGCTTCTCAGGGGGAACTCTGTGACCACTGCAGCCAAGATATTCCTCCTGATATTTATCTTCCACATGTGGGCATGGAGCCAGGCAGTTCCTCATTAGGCCCCTCCTACTAGTCTCATGTGGCTGCTGCTTTAAATTCCTAATTGTAGGACTTTTATTTAGCTAAGTTTTAGGTGGTTCTGAGTGATGGTTGCTCTGTATTTTAATTGCAATTTTGATGTGGTTGTCGGAGGATGTAAGTACTGTCTTTACTTATACTGCCATCTTGACCAGAAGCTGATTGTAAATTTTAAAAAAACAACAGCTTCATATAGAGAAGGTTTTTGAAAACTGGAAATGTATTTTTCTTTGTGTCTGATCCCCACATGATGGGCAAGGGGGTATGGCCCAGCGCTGTATCCTAAACATGGGTCATATGATTGGAAGCATTATGCGCTTTCTTTAGAAAATTTGATAAATACTGAAAAGAATAAAGAAGAAAAGGTCCACCATAATTTCACTACCTACAAATAATCATTGTTTAGGATATAAAAAAATATTTACACCTTGTTACCTTTTATGTGTATTTTTCATGTTCTGAATTTTTATCCTATACAATTTTGTGCCTTTCTTTTTATCTAACAGGGTTTCTCAACAATGGGAGTAAATTTTAGGTTGGGTAAGCATTTGTTGTTGGAGGGCTGTTCTGTGCGTTGGCAGCATTCCTGACCTCTACCTACTAGATGCCAGTAGCATCTTCCTTAAAGTTGTGATAGCCAAAAATGTCTTCAGATATTGCCAGACATTCCCTGGGGGACAGGGGCAGGGAGCAAAATTGCCCCAGATTGAGAACCACTGTTTTATACTTAGTATTGAGACATAAGCACTTTCTTATTCTGTTACAAACTTCCTAAGTACAATCTTTAGTGGTTGCATAATTTTTCTACTGTATATATCACCTTCAGTCTTAATTTGGAGTGTAGCCTTGGCTGACATTAATACCCATAGCTTTGCAAAATTATTATGTGACTAGGTAAGTATATCCTACAATTTACTGATAGTATTTTAAAAAAAATTTATATATATATAGATTTTAGAGAAGAAGAGGGAGGGAGAGACAGACAGAAACATCATTGATAAGAGAGAATCACTGATTAGCTGCATCCTACATGCCCCGCACTGGGGATTGAGCCTACAATGCAGGCATATGTCCTGACCTGGAATCGACTTCCTGGTTCATAGTTCTCCACTCAACTACTGAGCCACACTGGGCTGGCACTGATAGTATTTTTTTTAAATTATGTTAAACACAAAATTTACTATCTTAACCATTTTTAAGCATAGAGTTCAGTAGTGTTAAGTATATTTGCATTGTTGTGCAACAGATCTTCATACTGATAGGAGAATTTACTAGTGAAATGCTGTAAGTAATGATTTCTGTTATTTTTATTTTCATTAAAAAACTGTCTTTAAGGTATGTTTGCTTTGTTGAAGAATATGAGAAATCATAAATCACAAGTTTTTTAAAGTATTGCTGCCCAGCTGGTGTGGCTTGGTGGTTGAGCGTTGAGCTATGAACCAGGAGGTCATGGTTTGATTCCCCAGTCAGGGTACAGGCCCAGGTTGTGGGGCTTGATACCCAATAGAGGGTGTGCAGGAAGTAGCCAATCAGTGATTCTCTCTCATCTTTGATGCTTCTCTCTCTCTCTTACTCTCCCTCTCTCTCTGAAATCAATAAAAATATATTTTTAAAAAGTATTGCAAACATTAAGTGATGAGTTACAAAATAAGGTTAGACTTAATTTATATAATACACTTTTATAAAATGTTTTCTGTTATATTATAGATACCACTATTTGGAATCATGTCATCAGATTCTGCAGATCCTTTCTACTGGATGAGAGTTATTCTTGCATCCAACAGAGGTATGTACTTTTTTTCTTTTGCCTCCATACTACTAACATCAAATAGATCTGAAATTGTGGAAAATGTTTTTTGAGTTTACAAGGAGTGGGAGGATATGATAAAAGAAACATTGCCTGGGAGAAGAGACCAATCTATATGATAAAAGGCTAATACACAAATTGACTAAAAAGTGGAATGACCGGTTGCTCTGTCCGCGCACTGACCACCAGGGGACAGACGCTCAATGCAGGAGCTGCCCATTGGTGATCAGTGCATGAATTTCGTGCAACGGGCCTCTAGTCTATCTATCTGTATATATAAAAGCCTAAGCAACTGTTATGACTGAACAGCTGGTCACTAGTACATGCACTGACCACCAAGGGGAGACGCTCAATGCAAGAGCTGCCCCCTGATTGTCGGTGCGCTCCCACAGCCAACCTCCCGTGGCCAGCAGCCAGCCAACCTCCCGGGCTGGCTGGGCTGAAGGACCCCACCCGTGCACAAATTTGTGCACCAGGCCTCTAGTATATATATGAAAGCCTAGTCACATAATAAAAGCCTGGTGGTCAGTGTGCTCCCACAGCCAACTTTCCACGGCCGGCCAACCTCCCATGGTCCCTCTCCTCAGCTGGCCAGTCCAATCAGCCCTGATCACCGGCTAGGCCGAGGGACCCCACCCAGGCACAAATTTGTGCATGGGCCTCTAGTATGTAAACAATTATAGAACCATGTGTTTATTCTAATTTTAGAACTATGTTACAGAGTATTGAAGTACACAGAGAATGGAGTGATTATCACTGTCTAGAGCAGGGGTGGGCAAACTTTTTGACTCGAGGGCCACAATGGGTTCTTAAACTGGACCGGAGGGCCAGAACAAAAGCATGGATGGAGTGTTTGTGTGAACTAATATAAATTCAGAGTAAACATCATTACATAAAAGGGTACGGTCTTTTTTTTCAATAGTTTTATTCATTTTAAACGGGCCGGATCCGGTCTGCGGGCCATAGTTTGCCCACGGCTGGTCTAGAGCTTTCTCTGTGTTTTTTTTTTTCCCATTTTTTTCTATATATTTGTGTTTTTTTTCCCCCAGTGCACTGTGTCAAGATCATTTTTCATACCACTAGATATTCTACAATGTATTTTTAGATAATGTTATATGTAATTTTAGATATTGCATAAGAGTCATAAATCTTTTCTTTAATATTTTTATTGATTTTAGAAAGAGAAACATCAGTGATGAGAAAGAATCATTTATCAGCTGCCTCCTGCCTGGCCTCCTATTGGGGATTGAACCCACAACCCAGGCATGTGCCCTGACCAGGAATCAAATCATGGCCTGGTTCATAGGTTGACGCAGCTGGGCAGAGTCAGAAATCTTTTCAAGTATCTTTTTTTTTTTTTAGCTTGGTGTGTAATTTTGGGGCTTGATATATAATTTTCTTTCTTTTTTTTTTTTTTAGATCCTCACCTGAGGATATTTTTTCCATTGATTTCTAGAGAGAGTGGAAAGGAGGGAGCGGGGAGAAAGAGATTGAAGGGAGAGCGGGGGTGGAGAGAGAGAGAAAAAAAAAGAAACACACACCTATGTGAAAGAAACACATTGGTTGGTTGCCTCCTGAACACACCCTGCTGGGGCTTGGGAACCTGCAACCAAGGTATGTGCCCTTGACTGGGAATGGAACCCCAACCCTGTGGTCCAGGCTGATCAGGGCTGTAATTTTTAATTTGCATTAAAATAAAATGTTTAGCCCTATCGAGTTTGTCTCAGTGGATAGAGTGTTGGCCTGTGGAAAGAAGGGTTCTGGATTTGATTCTGGTCAAGGGCACATGACCCGGTTGCAGGCTCGATCCCTAGTAGGGGGCATGCAGGAGGCAGCTGATCTATGATTCTCTCTCATCATTGATGTTTCTCTCTCTCTCTCCCCCTTCCTCTCTGAAATCAGTAAAAAATGTCTTAAAAAAATAAAATGTTTAGCATACATTCTAAAAATAATAATTTGGACAGAAATCTTGGAAGATTTCTTTTAACAGATTTCTTTAACATTTTAAGTTTAGAATTTATAGAAATTTGTATTTAGTATTTATAGTAATTTTTATTTAATGGATTGTTGCAAGGCTGTGTTAATAGAGTTTTTTTTTTTTAAGTAATTTAATGTTGAAGAAATGAAAATTTGCTTGTTAACATTTAAGCATATATTTCCATAGGCGTAATTAAGGACTGGGACACTTCTAAAGTAATCTGCATTGTGTATAGTATTTACTTTTTTCCCCTTCCTTTATAGGAACTTTAATGGAATTGGGTATCTCCCCAATTGTAACGTCTGGTTTGATTATGCAGTTGTTAGCTGGAGCCAAAATCATTGAAGTTGGAGATACACCCAAAGACAGAGCTTTATTTAATGGAGCCCAAAAATGTGAGATTTAATAATATTAAATTTCAAATTTGGAAATTTTGTGGTAAAGATTTTTTTTTTCCTATAGTCTTTTCTATCTGTGGTTGTAACATGTACTCTTTTTTCCTCAATTTTTGTCAGTATTTGGTATGATCATTACCATTGGGCAAGCCATTGTATATGTCATGACAGGCATGTATGGGGATCCTGCTGAAATGGGTGCTGGAATCTGCCTCCTTATCATTATTCAGGTGAGAAATCCCATTTTTTATATGCAGATAACAAAAGTTTCATCCCTTTTTTCTAACAAGTCTTTAGGTGATTGATAATATTCATTTTCTTACTTTTGAATTATAGAATATTTTGATAATTGAAGTGACATGTATCATGTTGATGTGAAAATTTAAAATTCTGATAGCCTTATAGCTGCATAATATATTGAATTATGGATCAACTCTATTTCATTGGTTCTAAGATGCACATTTTTCACATTGTGATGTCTCTGAAATCAGGATGTTTTCTTACAGTTGTGATAGTGTCTTACAATTGCACTCAGCCAGGTGGCAGTTCTGATAGTTTGTCTTTTCCTACATGGGTGTCAACTTGATTATAGCTGTTCATGTCATCACGTCAATTTTTGATATTTTTTACTTTGCTTTTTAAAATGTATTCCAAAACTGCTGTGATTTGTTATTGAAATGAAAAGTTACTGTGTGTACACAAAGACACAGAAAGAGCAAGCTAGGTGATAAACATCTGTATCTAAATCTAAAATAACTTTTTATAAGTAGACAATCAATTTTTTTTGTAATAAGTTGTATCATAGTTTAATATCTTTGAATCAGTGAAATACTATATTAATACTCATACATGTATTCTAAGAATTTTTAAAGTGGATGCTTTGGAATAGAATTTTTGAAGGCCAACATTAATTTAATCCTTCACTAAGTATCTTAAAGTGTGTAAAGTTTGGTAGATATTTCTGTAATGTACAGTCCTTAAAAATCATTTAGAGAAGTTGCTCAAATGGATTGTACTTAAAGTATATAGTTATTTATTGACTTTTAAAAAGAAGTTTGTTTAAATTAAACACTGGGCATCTAGAGTTCTGCTTATCTTGGAAATGCCTCTTCTTGCTCACTCTGTGAAATTAGGATTAATTCAGGAAAGTTTTTCTAATGGTCAAAAGAATCAAGGTTAGAAAAATAGTTGTAAATAAAATCAAAATACTAGTTTACAAATATTTGTATTAAGAAATATGACCATCTCAGACTGGCATGGTTGACCATTCTTTTTTTAATAATTCTTTTTTATTTAGGAAGATCATAATAAGATAATTGTTTAGTTAGCATGATTCAGAACAAGGAGAGAGATTGTTCAGGTATTTATTGGCATCAGTAACAATAGGGATGGAGCAGAAGAGGAAGTCTGATTTAAAGCTTGAGAAAGACTTGCCTCTCTGCCATGAAGATGGAAGAGGCTACATGAGAAAGAATGCAGGTGGCTTTTGGGAATACAGTAGTCCTTGGATGACAACCAGGGAGAAAACGGGTATACTTCAGACCTACAATCCACAAGGAACTGGATTTTGACCTCATTCTGAATGAGCTTGACTTGGATTTTTCCCTAGACCATCTAGCTAAGAGCCTTGGCTAACTAATGCTTTCAAGTCAACGTTGGGAGACAAAGCAAAGATCCCAGTTAAGCTTGCTCAAGCTTCTGACCTACAGAACTATGAGCTAATAAATTTAGGTTGTTCTTAGGTTGTTCTTAGTTGCTTAAAACAAACAACAAGTAGGGAGGGCTTTTTTTGTCTTTTGACAAGGGGAGGAATTTTTAAAAATATGTTTTTATTTCCAGAGATAGATAGAAACATCAGTGACATGCTGTAGCTGTTTTGGCTCAGTGGATAGAGTGTTGGACTGTGAACTGAAAGGTCCTGGATTCAATTCTGGTCAAGGGCACATGCCTGGGTTGTGGGCTCAGTCCCCATAGGGGTGTGCAGGAAGAAGCCGATCAGTGATTCTCTCTCATCATTGATGTTTCTGTCTCTCCCTCTCCCTTTCTCTCTGAAATCAATACAAAAATATTTTTAAAAAAGAGAAAGAAACATCAATGACAGAGACACATGAGATATGGGCTGCCTCCTGCATGCCCCCTACGGGGAATAGAGCCCATAATCTGGGCATGTCCCCCTGACTGGGAGTTGAACCAGTGACCTCTTGGTTGCTGGGTTGAAGCTCAATCACCAAGCCACACTGTCCAGGCACAGGGAAGGAATTTTTTTTTAAATATATTTTATTGATTTTTTTTTTTTTTACAGAGAGGAAGGGAGAGAGATAGAGAGTTAGAAACATCGATGAGAGTGAAACATTGATCAGCTGCCTCCTGCACATCTACTGGGGATGTGCCCGCAACCAAGGTACATGACCTTGACCGGAATCGAACCTGGGACCTTTCAGTCCGCAGGCTGATGCTCTATCCACTGAGCCAAACCGGTTAGGGCGGGGGAGGAATTTTTACAGAGAGGAAGGGAGAGAGACAGAGAATTGGAAACATCGATCAGCTGCCTTGACCAGAATTGAACCTGGGACCTTTCAGTCTGCAGGCTGACGCTCTATCCACTGAGCCAAACCGGTTAGGGCGGGGGAGGAATTTTTACAGAGAGGAAGGGAGAGAGACAGAGAATTGGAAACATCGATCAGCTGCCTTGACCAGAATCGAACCTGGGACCTTTCAGTCCGCAGGCCAATGCTCTATCCACTGAGCCAAACCGGTTTCAGCAGGGGGAGGAATTTTTAATCAGAGTCTTTGGTAGTTTTCTGAGCCCCTGTGTGTTTCTATTTGGTATAAAGTACATTTCTTTAAAGAATAACTTTGTCATTATTTCTCCATTTAAAAAACACTTGATTGGCAAATTTATAGCCTTTGGGAATTGGAGGAAGAAAAGTTGGAATGGATAGAAAGATAAGGTTGTCTGAAAACTGAATTTAATATTTCAGTGCTTAAAATTTCTTCATATGCTTTTGGCATTGTTGAGGATATTGATATACTAATTGTTGATTTATGTTTATTTTATTTTTTAGCATTTGCTTTACGTAACCCATAGTTTAGAATAATCCTGATTTTTAAAAGATACCCAGAATTGGCATCTAGCTCTTAACATTGTGTATCAGTAAAATTTTTCTAGTGTTTTACTGAGGTTAGATTTAGACTTTTACGGAACCTCAGCTGAGCAGTTCTGGGTTAGTTAGATAAAGTATAGACTTCTTAAAGTGTTAGTTACAGATTTAAATTGATATTAAATGGAATTAAGCTATTTTAATTTTTTACCAGTCTTACAAATCCAGGAATAGTTATGTTCGAGGAATAAAACAAATTCAGTGCATATATATTTGTTACATAAATTCTGGTGCACAGATATTTATTTGTGTTATGGTAAATTCTTCTAGTGTTAAGTATAGAGAATATGTCATGTTTACTTAATCATCAGTGGGTAATGACCTATTTGCTTCTTTTTAAGGCATTGCTAACATTGAAAATGTGTGGGGCTCTGACCAGTTTGGCTCAGTGAATAGAGCATCAGTCTTCGGACTCAAGGGTCCTAGGTTCGATTCCGGCCAAGGGCATGTACCTTGGCTGCGGGCACATCCCCAGTAGGGAGTGTGCAGGAGGCAGCTGATCGATGTTTCTCTCTCATCGATGTTTCTGACTCTTTATCCCTTTCCCTTCCTCTCTGTAAAAAATCAATAAAATATATTTTTTTAAAAAAAGAAAATGTGTGGGTACCTTGAAGAGATATGATTGGATCAATGTGTTTCTACCTAGAAACATAGGTTTTAAAAACTGTTTGCATGTTCTTATATAAGATATTTCTCAACTTAATCTTGTTTCATTCACATGGTCAGTGTCTTTCAATTAGTGAGTTTAGAAATCTAAATAATATGTCTTGATTAAAATTAAAAAAGAATTGAAACTATCAGTGTGCATGGCACATTGTAAAGGTAAGTATTATTTTGTCAAACTGAGTTGTTTGTGCGTGAATGCATCTGTAGGGTTGAAATGTACAGTGTTAGTTTTATGCCTGCTTTGAGATTCATATTGATTGTACATCTACAAAGGCATTCAGTTAGTATTCAGTTCTTATCACCGTTTTAGTCAGTGAGATGCTCTAGCTTCCTGGTGTCTAATTCCTCTCGGGCATGTATGCTTTTTACCATCTTTTATCTTCTTTAATTATAGAAACCATTTCTCATGTAGGTTTTTCTATAATGCCTTTCTCCCATTAGAAAAATGAGTTTTTATTTTCATAGGATATACATAAATCATTCTATAAACTGATGAACATTGGTCTGAACAAGTGGTTTGAATTACAGTTGATTCAGAGTTGTCCATGTGATTCTGGACAGGTTATTCAATTAGTCATTTAGTCAGAAGCCCATGATAATGCTTTTGATTGGCTGTTAGTTTGTGGACAGCTCTTATTCTTTGCACAGGGTTGGGTTTCTGTGTGATTGGGAGTATTTATTACATAATTGTGGTAAAAATAAAATCTCAGTAATAAATCCTAACTTCTTTTATCTTGTCAAAATGTCAAAAGTAAAGTATTCATGAGCTCACTTAGAAGTTTTGAGAATTGTACTATTTTTCCAGTCCATTGAAAGTTAAACTAAAAGACTGTCAATAGACAAGTTAGGCTCTGTATAACCATTGAAATGACAGTTAAGGAAAATAAATAAACTCTGTGTAAGGTAAACATGCTTAATATGGGGTACTGTAGTTTGCTCTCTCTTCTAATGGGGATATTAGGGAACTGCGTAAGTAATGAGGGGGGATGCTTCAGAGATGCTTCACAGAAGTGACATTTCCTTAGCTTCTGTAAGAGGGTGTCCTTTATAGTGGGGACAGGCATGAGACGGGGGTGGGAGGGTATAGAAGTGTATTTTCTTCCTTGATTGATCAGGTTACTGAAGTGCAGGTCAAGGTCACTTTTAAGTCTAGGGCTTATTATTATTATTTCTAAAATATGTTTTTATTGATTTCAGGGAGAGGGAGATAGTAAGAAACATCTATGAGAGAGAAACATCCATTGGCTGCCTCCTGCATGCCCTCTACTGGGGATCGAGCCCCAACCCGGGCATGTACCCTGACATGGAATTGAACCAGTGACCTCCTGGAGCTTGTGATGATGCTTAACCAAGTGAGCCACACTGGCCTGGCTCTAGGGCTTATTTTTAATTGGTATATACTTTTACAGAAATGTCTTATCCAAGAGGAAAATTAAGAATTTCCATTTTCACATAAATTAAAGTTAGCATGCTTTCATTTTTTTAAAAAAGTTACGAACTTAGGAACCTATGAACTCTTAACTATCTTGAAATTTACATTCAATCTTTGTCACTATATGTATAGAATGCATTTTTACATAGTTATAATCTGTGTATGTATTAATTTGTGCTTCACCTTTTTACTTATTCCATAGATATATAATAAGTACACAATATATACAATATTATATATAATATTTAAAAAACGTATCAACATAGTTCACATACTTTTCCTTTCATGGCAGTGTGCAATTGCATCTTGTTACACCATAATTCATTTGGCCTTTCACTTGCTTGGAGATATCTGGGATGTACTCAGTTTCTTGCTGTCATAAATTCTACAACTGTCAAGATTTTTGTTTTATAGTGTGATTTACAGTAAGCCTTATTTAAGGGAATAAGCCTTATTTCCCTTATTGTAAGGGAAACTGTTCTGATGGTAACATCTGTTTTACAAGTTGAAATGGCTGCTATACAATATAGCAATGTTTCTAATCATCTGATTTTCAGGATCAGCTTCTGATTAAATCAAAGTGGATTAAAAGATGCAGAATCATAATAGTGATATTGTAATCATTAGGTTTGAATGTGTTAGACATGCCCATACTTTGAAAGTAGTCACTGGTGTTTGTCTTCCCCTTTTTTGAGTTGTTTCTTGCTTCCGCTTACTTGCATTTCTTTCCCCACAGTTGTTTGTTGCTGGTTTGATTGTGCTGCTGTTAGATGAGCTGCTACAGAAGGGTTACGGCCTGGGGTCTGGTATTTCCCTCTTTATTGCCACCAACATCTGTGAAACCATTGTCTGGAAGGCCTTTAGTCCCACTACTATTAACACTGGCAGAGGTACATCACACAGTGACTGCGACTGCACGAGTGTTGCTGGATGTGTGTTGAAAAGTAACACGTAATGGAGCAGTACATGCCTGTAGATATCTAGGTTTACTGTTCCAGCGGACAATTGATGCTAATTATTCAAAATTATTAGCAGAGATTTGTGGAGTCTGAAATATTACTTCAAAAAGAATATCTACATTTTAGCCTCTGCTTATTCAAATTTCAGTGGTCCCAAGCATTTGAAAATTTTTATTTGCTTAAGCCATTGCTGCAGAACTCATGAATTTGACCAATTTCAGCATTGCTAGGGGGATCAAAAGGTAGTGGATTAGGATTTTTCAATGAAAAAACTGTTATTCTTTGTATCATCAGGGAGCACTAATACTTTTGCTGCTATTCTACTTGGCTTGGTATTCGTACCTAAATTTTGAAATATTTCTACTCTTTTTCCCCTTACCCATTTCCACTTCTCTCAAAATGCCATCCTAGATTTGTAAGGGTTAACATCTAAACTAATCCCAGCCTTAAGAAAATAGCAACAATGGTTTATTAATGTTCCTGGTAAAATGAACTTAAAGGCAAGCTTGGTAGAGTAACATATATCTTTTGAATCTGACCTCTACTCTGCTTTGCTGCTGCCACCCCTCCCCTTACCGCAGTACTCTCTTCCCTTCTTGAAAGTAAAGGAGAAGCAAAGCATTATGAATGAAATATTTTTTTGGCTTACTCTACTTTGGTTGTTTCCATCAAGAAACTTCTCTTGAGAAACTTCAAATTTATGTTAAAAAACATACATTTTGCCTCAATGATCAAAATATTTTAGAAGCTCCACATATGGCTATATCACAAATACTGATGAATTATTTTCACTCATATTTTTTGCTGAGTACTATAGTTTCAAGGTTATTTGTTTTGACCTTTGGGATAACTTTGGCATCTACAGTTACTTTTTCTCTTGGTTTATCAGGTACTGAGTTTGAGGGTGCAGTCATAGCTCTCTTTCATTTACTGGCCACCAGGACCGATAAAGTCCGAGCTTTAAGGGAGGCTTTCTACCGTCAGAACTTGCCTAATCTCATGAACCTCATTGCTACTGTTTTTGTGTTTGCTGTTGTTATATATTTTCAGGTAAGTATAACTTTCTTTCTGAAGTAAGTGGGATGTGGATTTTTATTTGAAATGTTAGTTTCTAATAAGTCAATGTTTCAAAATCTAGTCAAGCAAATAATTCCTTTCTTTAGAAACAGAGGTATAAATAACAAAGTAGAATGAAAATGAAATAGAAAGGGATTTCTGTTGGCATGCCTTTGTGTGGAAGGGTTAAGTTTTATTATCATTATCTTTTCATACTCCCTACTGTTTCTGGTTTGGCTTTCTGTATTGTTTATATGATTCTAGAGTCCCGGTGCACGAAATTTGTGGACAGGTGTGCTCGCTAGGCCTAGCTGGCAATCGAAGCGCTGCTTGTTGTCTGCATGGCTATTGGCAGGGCAATCGGGACCCTGCCTGACTCCCTCAGCACCTGGAAGCCAGGTGGCGGCCCCGCCTCCACCGCCGCCACTGGTCGCCATCTGTGGGGTGATTGGTGGGGCGATCGGGCCCTGCTTAGACCTGTGTTGGCCTGGTGCCACCAGTTCACTTGCTCCACCATCCCTCTGTGTCCCACTCTCATTGGGGCCCATCGGGCCTGGCAGTGCCTCCACTGCTGCCTGCTACCAGCGCCGCACCATGTTCCTTGCTGCCCCCTGGTGGTCAGCACACGTCATAGTGAGCAGTCGAATTCCTGGTTGAGGGGACAATTTGCATATTATGTTTTTATTATATAGGATGTGCAGTTCCTCTTACTCTGAATTTTCACTTTGTAGGGATTTCGTGTTGACTTGCCCATCAAGTCAGCTCGGTATCGAGGACAATACAGCAGCTACCCCATCAAGCTCTTCTACACCTCGAACATCCCCATTATTCTTCAGTCAGCATTGGTGTCAAACCTCTATGTTATTTCCCAGATGCTGTCTGTTCGATTCAGTGGCAACTTTTTAGTTAATTTACTAGGACAGTGGGCAGTGAGTATTTTGTTATTTATTCAAGTGTTTTCATTTATTGTAATTTGCATTTCATGGTTATATTTTTAACTGAAAGAGATGAGCCATAATTGAAGTAGTTGCTATAACATTTTCAGAGTCACTTAAGTAGGAAGCATTTTTGCATTTCCTTTGAATGATCTTTTAGGCTAAAATTACAGTGGTTCTCATGATTCTGTGTTTTGTAATCTCATTCCACTATTGTCTGGAATAATGTTTTTAAAAAGAAGCTATTTGTTGATAATATATGGAATACAGAAATCATCCTCCCTGTTTTTCATAGCCTGAATGGCACTAAACTAGTTTGTGATTAACTGGGCTGGAGACAGACATGTAATTACTAAACTAAAGAGAGAACAGATGCTAGAAATAGAATCCAGTAAATTCTGACTTCCTTTCATAGGTACCTGGTATCAGAACTTCTTCTAAAGCAGTCCAGCCACATTGTTACTGAAGTGTTAATTGTGGGATTGGATTGAATTCTGATTGGTTTAAATTCTATCACCTGACCAAGGAGTATTTTTCTCCTTTAAAATTATAGAATTAAAAAATACTAAGATCCTTTATTCTTTTGTGGAGTATGTAATTCTAGAATTTGTATTGCATTAAAGAATATTATTTTTAGTCATTATACTGAAGTATGGTGCTTAATATATTGTGCATTTATCTTAATATGCTATCTTTTACATTTTAAGTTATAGTGACTGATATATCTGTGCTTTTACTGAAGATAATTTTTAAAAGAAATTTGCAGTTTAACAGGGTAAGACAGTGATTTTTAAAATATATATATTTTATTGATTTTTTACAGAGAGGAAGGGAGAGGGATAGTTAGAAACATCGATAAGAGAGAAACATTGAGAAACATTGATCAGCTGCCTCCTGCACACCACCTACTGGGAATGTGCCCACAACCAAGGTACATGACCTTGGCTGGAATTGAACTCCGGGACCCTTCAGTCCGCAGACCAACACTCTATCCACTGAACCAAACCGGTTAGAGCAAGACAGTGATTTTTGAATGTTAGTTGGAGGAAATAGGATTTGCTGTATTTGTAATACTCCTTTTCCATTCATTTAACAGAAATTTGATTACCTGTGATTACGGGAGGAATCTTTTTCTCCCCTCATGAACTAATAGTCCAGCTATAATTATTACTATAAAAATTACAAAGTAATAAATGCATTGAATGGATGTATAGAATATATTGTGACCTTGACTAAGATTTTTTTTTTAAATGAGAGAATTATTGGGGAATTGAATTTGTCTATAAACAATGCTTTTGATTTGGTAATATTAATTCTAGGGGCAGAGTAAAAGAATTATTTGGTAGTTATAAGTTCAAGAATCAAGATAAATTAATCTTTGCAACCAGAAATTGCTTTCTCACACCCTATATCCCAAAATTTTTATTTAATAAGAGCAAATACATGCTGGTCCCATTTCTGTTATTATAAAAATTCTTAAATATTTGTGTTGCTAAAAATCTCATTGTATATATTTATCAAGACTTTTATACAAACAAATAACGTTATGCAGTGAGTTGTTAGACTTCTGTCAATATTTCAATTGATTGCCTTCTTAATAGAATACTTTGAAATGAAAGAATCATGTGTAAGGAAGGGTTTTATTGTGTGGCATAAAACTCTTTTATGTTTTTATTATCTTTTGTTGAAAGTATTACAGATGTACCCCTCTTCTTTTCCCCATTGACCCTCCCTCCTCCCGCCCTTTCCCCAGACCTTCATTGCATACTCTTATATAGTTCAGAAAATTTCAGATTCTAATAAGAGATTGATTATAGCCCTAGTTGGTTTTGCTCACTGGATAGAGTGTTGACCTGAGGACTGAAGGGTCCCAAGTTCGATTCTGGTCAAGGTTGCATACCTTGGTTGGAGGCTCAATTTCTCTATCACATAGATGTTTCTCTCTGTCTCTTCCACTCCCTTCCACTTGCTCAAAAAAAAAAAAAAAAAAAAAATCAATGGAAAAATATCCTCAGGTGAGGATTAACCAAAAAAAAAAAAAAAAAAAAAGAGATTGACTATAAATGTGGTCTTTTTTCTATCTTCTCATAGATTTTTTTTCTTGTCATTCTTCTGTTATTAATATACCTACATCTTTATGTAAGAGATGTTTACTATATAATTTTGAAGGAATGAAGATATTAGATACAAAAGCAAATCCTTAAGTTATTTATAGCCATTAGCTGTAGGTGCTTTGAGCTTAAACCATTGTCCTAATTTTTGAGGAGTTTGAAAAGTTACAAAAATGTATGCTTGACAAGGTAGGTTGGCCAGTTGTTCTTTTCCTTCTTGTTCTGTAGGATGTCAGTGGGGGAGGACCTGCTCGCTCTTACCCAGTTGGAGGCCTTTGTTATTATCTTTCTCCTCCTGAGTCTATGGGTGCCATATTTGAGGATCCTGTCCATGTGGTTGTTTATATCATCTTTATGCTGGGATCATGTGCATTCTTTTCTAAGACGTGGATAGAGGTGTCTGGTTCCTCAGCCAAAGATGTAAGTATTTGGTTTATTTCAAAATAAAAATAATTTATAAATTTTAGATGTCAGATCTTATTTTTGTAAATTAAAGTTTAATTCATACATTAATAATAAAGTAGTATGACCTCCCCATAGGGTTAAAAATTGGTTCCTGGTAGGTGAAACACAGACTTTATAATGGTTTGTGACTCTCAAAAGCTCAATCCTACCTGACAAAGTATTATTTCTTAGTATTAATTTTTCTTAAGGAAGGTGATAGTGAAAAAAGATTGAGAACGCTGGTTTAGTTTATGGGTAACATGGTTGTGCAGTATTGTAGCCTCAGTATCCTCAGGTTTAAAATAGGAATGGTATGACGGTGCCTACTTCAGGGTTCTTGATATCTTATTAGTGTATAGAAAGCCCTTCACACAGAAGTGGGTAGATAGTGAACAGTGAAATGTTAGTTTGATTTTAAAAGTTGTGTTTCTTTCAACAGGTAGCTAAACAGCTTAAAGAACAGCAAATGGTAATGAGGGGCCACAGAGATACCTCTATGGTTCATGAGCTTAATAGGTAAGGTCATTTGATTTCCTCCTTTGCAGGGTGGGGGCAGGCAACATATACTCAGTTTTTCAATCCTTCATTTCTTGCCAAATGTTATTCTTTATTTGTTTAAATTTATATTTTCAGCATTTCTACTTCACACAAAAGGACCAAACTTGAACATAAAAGTTAATTTTTCTTCACATCAAAATGACAACTAAATTAGTTTAATTGGAATTGTGTTCCCCTTCACAGCTCAGCCAAGTGTTAAAATGTAGATGGGAGGTTCTCATTGTTGGCTGGCTGTACAGAAAATCACCTCGGGAGCTTTTAAAAAGTACTAACTTCCCATCTTCAGGAATGGTGATTTCTTTGGTCTGGAGTGGGTGGGTCCCAGGCATCAGTTTTTTTGATAAACAGCTTCATTGGTATAATTCACATACTGTGTAATTCACTCATTTGAAGTATGTGGTTTAGTGTGTTTTTTAAAATTTTTTTAGTATATTTAGAGTGTAAAATATACTCTAATTTTAAAAACATTTTCACCAATCAGAAAGAAACCTTGTACCCATTAGTTATTTCCCACTCCAATCCCATTCTCCTCTCCTTCCAGCCCCAGGAAACTTTTTACCCTCTGCCTATTCTGGACATTTAATACATAAGGAATCATATGTGATCTTTTATGAATAGCTTTTTTTACTAGCATAGAGTTTTCAAAGTTCATTATCTGTGAATATCCCATTGTGTGGATAATATGTTTTATTTACCCATTCATTAGTTGATAGATATTCGGGTTGTTTCCACTTTTTGGCCATTATGAATAATGACTGTTATGAACATACTTGTAGAAAGTTTGTGTGGAAGTATGTTTTTATTTCTCTAGGAATGGAATTGAGTCATATAGTAACTGTTTCACATGTTGAGGAACTGCCGAATTGTCTTCCAGAGGGGCTGTATATGTGTGAGGTTCCAATTGCCACACATCCTCTCCAGCACTAGTTTTTGCTTTTTGATTAGTATATAGCCAACTACTGGGTATGAAGCAATACCTCATTGTGGTTTTGATTTGCTTTTCCTTGATGAGTAATGATGTTGAGCAGCTTTTCATGTGTTTATCAGCTATTTGTGTATTGTCTTTGGAGAAATGTCTGTTCAAATATTTTGCTCATTTTAATTTGTTTTTTGTTAATCCTCACCCAAGGATATTTTTCCCATTGATTTTTAGAGAGTGGAAGGGAGAGAGGAGGGTGAGAGATCCAAGAGATCGATGTGAGAGAGACATGGATTGGTTGCTTCCCAAAGACGCCCTCACCTGGGTTGGGGATCAAACCGAAGTATGAGGTATATGGCCTTGACTGGGAATCAAATCCATCACCCTTTGGTCCCTGAGCTGATTAGCTCTAAACCAGCCAGGGCTATTTTGCTCATTTTTTATTGGGTTATCTTTTTGTTACTGAGTTGTAAGATTATTTAAAAAAATATTTTGGATGTCTCTTGTTAGGTATGTTAATTACAAATATTTTGTCATTCTTTGGGTTGCCCTTTCAATTTCTTGATGGTATCCTTTGACGAACAAGTTTTTAATTCTGATGAAGTTCAATATATCAGTTTTGTCTTTGGACGCTTTGTGCTGCTGTTGTATCTAAGAAACCATTGCCTAACCCAAGGTCACAGATTTATTTATTTTTTCTCTTAGGAGTCTCAGCTCTTAGATTTCAGTCTATGATCCACTTTGAGCGAAGTTTTGTTTGGTGTGAGGCATTCAGATTCTTTCTTTTGCATGTGGATATCCAATTGTTCCATAATTGTTGAAAAGGCACTAGTATTTATATTTAAATTTTATTTATTGAGAACACAGATTGCAGAGAATAGTATAATGAATCTGCATGTACCCATGTATATCCAAATTTAGTAGTAGTTATTCTGTCATTCTTCTTTCATTCAACCCTAATCTTTTTTCTATTTTTTTTCTTTCTGGAGTATTTTAAATACAATCCCATTATTTTTAATAGTTCTCCAGGTGGTTGTAACATGCAGCCAATGTCAAGTTACTGTTGGAAGAGAATTATCCAAATCTTGTCACATAAATATATTTAGAAATCATTTTGAAATTCACTGTTCATTTAGAAGAGGGAGCTAAAGGTTACCCATTTAAAAATATTAAATATTTTAATACTTAAATCTAGTTGAAGATTCTGATCTGATCAAAATCATTGCCTTTCTTGGCTGTTAACTGGCTTTTCAAAATCAGGGAGTAAGTCATTCCCTCAGTCAGTTTTCATCAACATGTAGCTGCTATGGACAACCCATCAGTACAGCAGACTGTTCCGTTAGATGAACCACACTTCAACATGACATGTTATTGCTTCTGTGGCCGCTTTTCAGTTCCCTCTGCTGCCTAACTTGGTTTTGTCTTCTAGGTATATCCCCACCGCAGCTGCATTCGGCGGTTTGTGTATTGGCGCCCTGTCAGTGTTGGCTGACTTCTTAGGGGCCATTGGCTCTGGCACTGGAATTCTGCTCGCAGTCACGATTATTTATCAGTATTTTGAAATATTTGTTAAGGAACAGGCTGAAGTAGGTGGGATGGGTGCTTTGTTTTTCTAAATGTTCCAATACTTTTGTGTGAAGGGAAAACATTTTGACACATTGTTTTTGTCAAATAATGCTGACTCTCCATTTCTCCCCTCATTTTTTTTTTTTTTTTAAGTGCTAACTGTCCCATTTCTGAAATGGGCACCGAGCTAAGCCTGTGTGCAGCATTAGTACCAGCTGCCTTAAAACTGAAGTTTACATTATTCGTTAGAAAACATACATGTAGTTTGCCTGTGATGCTGGAAACCAATGTACCTGCCTTGCCGTGTTCAGTTTTGACGGTGAGGTAATGTGGATCAGTTTTGCACACATTCAAAACACTCAGTATTTCCCCCACTTGTTTAAAAATAAATATAGTTCAAATTGCCACTTTCCAGTATTTTGGGCTGATCTATATTTTAGATATAATTTTTATACTTTCTGTGTAGTATCCATGTTCCAGCCCTCCCTCTTCATCCCTTCCCTTTTGTTCCTTCTCAAAGCAGCCACTTAGCCCAGATGGACAAAGTGAAGCTTCTTAAGCTTCTGTCATTAGAAAAACTGCTTATAACTACTGTTCATGTTTTCCATTCTTTCTTCCCAGTGACAGCACGGTTGGTGCTGTTTTTGCTGTATTGGCTATGCCTGTGAATTCCAAGTCACTTGAGAAAGCTCTTTCAAGATACTGTGCCCCAGTTGTGTTTTTCTTTTTTTTAAATCCCTAAAGCAGAGATCTAATTCTCAAGCAATGTCTGTAGTTCAGTGGGGGTGAACAATGAGTAATTCATGCTAGGAATCTGTGTATGTTGTTGTACTTTGTAGCAGCAACATGAGTGTAAACAGTAGACAATAAACTTTTATTTAATACAACTGTTTCAGTTGTGTTGGAAAAATAAAAAAAATCTGAAATTAAATGCTTTGTGTAGGTTTATTGTATTCATACAAAGTCTATCCCGCGATGCCTATTGCAAGAGGTCAAACGTAATTAGTTTAGTGCATAATCCTAAAATACGGAGGGACAGTGACCAACTTAAGGTTGCTCAGTTATGTCACTAACATTTGGAAGCAGGAAAACAGTGGTCTTAAATGATATTCCAGCCCCCATTTGGAATAGCAGTTCTTTATCAATAATTCATTTTTAGAGCATGTGTTTTATTGTTCAGAAAGAGATCAGACTTAATTTTTGAAAAGCTTCCTTTTCAGAAGTATGGTTTTCCATCGTTGGAAGTGTATCTTACTTAGTTTCTGATCACAAATTCAAATAACTTACAAGGGCAAGGCAGGACAGCAAGGATGGTCAACCATCCTTGGGCTGAAGACCAGCCATAGAAATAGAGACCTGGTGTTAATATCTGATTTTTTTCCCCCCAAGAGAAGGTAAAAAATAAGGCTTTTATGGGAAACCTTCAAATTTTAAATTCTGACAAATTAACAGTGCCAGCCGATGAAAATGTTCAGACTGCAGGTTCTCAAACTAATTTCCAAAGCATAGTCTTTGATGTTTATAGATAATGTAAGTGGCATTAGGGTTATGTTCTAGGATTTAGCTGTCACTTCTACATTGCACTCTTAGGAGGAGTAGAAAACCGGACAATCGGGTTATACATATCTCTTCATTAAGAGTTAAGAGTATGCTTCTCAGTTCCCATGGGGGTGGCTTAGGAAGAGCTGCTCTACTTGGAGAGACAGGTCTTAGCTAGAGTCTGTATTTTACATATGCCTTATTTCTTGATTTTGAAGTAGGGTAATAATAAGGGAAATTAGAGGACTTGGTCCTTGAGGGGAAAAGGATTAGGATCTCTGGAGAATTATGATGCCCATGTTTAATACATGATCTCATGTGGAATCTAATGAACAAAATAAACTGATGAAGAAAATAGATCCAGAAGACACAGAAGCATGGAACAGACTGAAAAATCTCAGAGGGAAGGTGGGGGTGGGTGGATGGGGGGGAAGAGATCAACTAAAGAACTTGCATGCATGTATATATACATAACCTATGGACACAGACAATAGGGTGGTGAAGGCCTGGGGTGGGGGCGGGCTGGAAGAGGTCAATGGGGGAAAAAGAGGGTCATATATAATACTGTATTTTTAACAAAGATTTAAAAAATCTGTATCTGTAAGAAAAAGTGATGGGGGTATAGCACAAGGTAAGGCTACATTAGAGCAGGTAGTTGGGGCTTAATTTTCACAGTATATAGGGAAAGTAGACTTGATCTATGCAGTTTTCTGATTCTATAATTCTATCGTTAAGTATAATTTAATGGTCTTATATTTAGGTTCATCAAAGTATCTGGAAAAGAGAGTGAACCTGTAGACAGATGAACTATACTGCAGCATTTTTGGCATTAGTACCCTGATTTTATCTGGTTCTGAGGGGCCTGGCTTACCCCCTGGGTCCAGAGCTCAAATCATGACTTAGGGCTGGCCAGTGAGAATCATCCTGAGACTTTTTCTGGGAGGTAAGCTGAAAAACCAGTGATCCTAGAGTTGTTGGAGGCCATACAGTCAACCCAAGAGCCTTGGCTCAGGAGGTAAGGAGATGGCCCAGTAACCCTGGTAGATCTTTTGGATGACAGGCATTAGGCATGGCATGTACCAGAAACAACCCTGTTTTTTCCTTTAAAGTAGTTTATAATGGGTTTCTGGTACTTGTTAACCTTGCTGGCTGCACTCATGGTTGAATACCAAGACAATAATGCCCCAAACTATGTAAATCTTACTACCATGGATTTGGTGTTTTAGAAGTTCAAGTTACTTTTTTGAGGTAAGGATAGGAAATGAGATTCTCAAATATGTCCACATGCTTTAGAGCAGCAGTCGCCAACCAGTAGTCCGTGGACCACTGGTGGTCTGTGAGGTCTGAAAGGTTGGCAACTGCTGCTTTAGAGGGAAGGGCCTTGTATTTTCATTAGCCTCTTAACTTTCTTATAGTGAATGAAATTAACCATTTTTCATTACTTAAGTAGTAGGTAGATATAATGACAATAGCTAAATGTAAACATTGGCTTATGAATGTTACTCTATGGGTTTTATATCTTTTGCTACACAGATTAATTCCATATAGCAGATAATTCAAATAGGAATCCCTATATTGGTTTCCTTTAAATAATGTAATGGTTTCTTTTAAACAATATAATTTGTCTATACTCAGCTATAGAATTTTTTGTTGTTAATCCTCACCAGAGGATATTTTTTCCACTGATTTTTAAAGAGTGTGTAAGGGAGGGGGAAAGACAGAAACAGGAACATCGATGTGACAAAGACACATGGATTGGTTACCTCCTGCAGGCAGGGCCTAGGGATCAGATTGAGCCTGCAATTGAGGTACAGCCTTGACAGGAACTGAACCCGTGACCTTTCCGTCCTAGGGTCAACGCTCTAAAACACTGAGTAAAATCAGCTAGGCCATCGGCTACAGAATTTTATGTTGGGAGTTTGAGGTAGGAGTAGTTGACCTAATTTAGAATTCAGGTCTCTTCTAACCCCTATTTCTTGGATTAGGTTAGATAACAGCTGAAGTTAAAAAAAATGGATTAAACATATTTGCATTTAGCATTTAAATGAAGGCAACAGCCTACCTATAATTATAATTCCATACCACCACATGCATTTTTTGTTGTTCTTATTTTATGAAAAAGGTAATTTTACATTTCCATCAAACTTAGCTGAATACAAAGTCTTAGTGAAGGAGACCTTATGGCCTCATTTATAAAACAAAAACATGGCTACTCTCCTCTGGCCTCAAAATTTCAGGAAGGGCACTTCAAATGGCTTGGTATTTGCATGTTTCAGCGCCAGAGCATAGGAATAGACCCTAGCATCCACTGTCAGATGTTCTTCAGTTACCAGTGCTACAGGAAGCAAAGGAGACACGTTAGACAATGATGTTAATAAAAGATAATACCCCCCTTGTCATTCAATATTTACTAGGCAATTACTATATACCAGTCCCTATGCTAGATGCTGGTAATACAGTGGTGAACAAGACATTTTTTGCCTTCAAAGATCTTACTCTAGTGGAAGAATAAAGGATATAAAAGCAGTGTTACATTCCAGCTTGGGACAAGAACAACAAAAAATTAAGAATAAAGATAGAAGAGCATACATATCAGAGATGATGATTTTGTGTGTTAAAATAGCAAAGCTTTATAGATTCACTTTTTCATTTATAGCTCACTATTGGACTCTGCTACTATGAAGCTATATAGTTATGAATACTCAGTTATTTATTGAAGATCCATTCATGTGTCTTTCCTGCTGCTAGGGGATAGATAATTTTGCACATACACGTTAACTGTGTGCATGATAGGATTAGAACTCAAAAACTTTCCTTCCTACTTCTCAAATGTGATGAATAAATGATTTGATTACTATCTTTCAATTCTAGTAAAGCTAGGAAAACTGGCTCTTTTACCCCTTCCCCTTCTATATAACCCTCTACCTTCCTCCCTCTCTTGCTCTTTATTTCCCCCTCTTCTAAGGCCAGAAGAGAAGTTAACTTAGGTGGAAGGAATCTAAAAAACAATTTTCTGATATAAAAAAATAATAAAAAGAGAGCATAAAACATTTAAGCACTATGTGTCAACATTATCCCGTTTACTCATGTCTCCTCAGACACAGGGGCTATCTATTGTTCCATACATGAGAAAAGCTCAGAGAGGCTATGAAACTTGTTCAAAGTCATAACTAATACATGTTTGAGCCTCTAATCCAGTCAGATCTGTCAGACTCAAAGTTAAATCCTGCCTGTAATTGATGGCCATGGCTTTATCTGAGGAAATACCTAATAAATGACTGAGTCTTTTCAGTACAAGTACTTCTAATTTTGACTTTGAATCTGGAGGTGGCTTTTACCTTAGGTCTAGTTTTTAAAACAGCAAAGTAGGAATGGAAACTCTGGGAATCTGAAATCACAGCAGTTTTTGAAAGACCTACTTTACTTTTGAAATAAGCAACATCGACATTAGAAATAAAACTGTAAGCCATTGGTACTTAAGGAAGAAAGAGACTGTTCTCAAAGCTTCAGGTGAAACAGGGATTCGAATTAATTTTTGAAATAAAAATTAAATGAGTGCATAGGCACCTACCCAGCCTGCATAGAGAAGCTTCTTAAAAGGCCTCTGTCATGTCTACAGTACAGTATATCCTGATGTACATATATCAAAGGACATCTGTCCATATAACCTTATTTATTTATTTATTTGTTTTAACAAAATCCCTAACAGATGGGCTGGCTAGGAATTTCACAATGTAACATATGACCAATAATTTACTAAGGGTCACACTGCTAGTTAGTATGGTTGATTATATCAGCACACTGCACTTAACATATAGTAAATACCAATATTTATAGAAGGAATATTGTTCAATTCTCCTTTAGCTTATACCTGCACAAAGAACCAACATACTAGCATATTTGAGAATCAGCTAAGTGACAGCTAATTATGCCACTGCATTGTCATGGGTTAAAGATTTAAGGTGTAGAATAGTTTGAGCTAATTAGCAGGAATATAATTTTGACCCTTCTATAGGAGAAAAAAGCCCCCGGCTGAAAGCTTTCATTGACATGGAACATTTTGCTCTATTTTCAAATTCTATGCCACCAGAAAGGAAAATTATTATTGGCCAACTGCAGTTTTACAATAGTTTCTAGGTTTTTGACTTTAAGGAGGAAGAATATAAAGAAACAATTCTATCTAGTTCCCCTTTGCTGGGGATGGGGAGGGGGAAACTGGAGAAAGTTGGGTAATAATCTCAAGAAAGCTTACCTTCAAGTCTCTTCATCAGGTCATTCTTTGGTAAGGAAATTACTTCCACAAATTCTAAACAAACAAACTGCAGGTGAAAACAAAGCTAAAGAACAGGGGAGCCTACCAGAACAACACAAAATGCCTGTGGCCGTTACCACTACTTCAAGCCATACACATTGTCAGCCACTGGGAGTTGAATAACATACCTCCATCTCCTGAAAATAAACAGAAGGAGAAAATTTTAGCAAGGCCTGGAGTGGTAAAACATTGGAAGATTTTTGTGCGAGACAAATAAAAAAGGCTATAAAATGCTCAGAAGGGCTGCTTAACATGCTTTCTGGCCCAGGAGCCAGAAGTAGTGGGATTAAGAGGAAGGTTAAATGCATGCTTGCATGGGACCTGTGAATCTGAGAGTAGCAGTCCCTGGACAAAACGAAAGGTGGAGGCGGAGGGTGGCTGCCTGTCGACTTTAGAGGGAGGGAGGGAGGAAGGAGAATATTTTCTAATTGCTTAAGATGCTGGAAACCTCACCCATCCCACTTACACCTTTTGTTGTTGTTAATCCTCACCCGAGGATATTTTTACTATTGATCTTTAGAGAGTGAAAAGGAGGGAGAGAAAGAGAGAAAAACATTGATGTGAGAGACACATCGATTGGCTGCCTCCAGCATGTGCCCCAACCAGGCAAGGGATGGAACCTGCCACCTAGGTGCTTGGGCCGACACTCTAACCACTGAGCACACCAGCCAGGGCCTTCCATCTTTTCTTAACATCACTTCAATATCTACGCAATCTGCATGAGTGCTAACTCAGAACATGTTGGTCTTTGAAAATAAAATGGCTATTCTATATAATAAAAACCTAATATGCTAAGTGTCCGGTTGGCCATTCAACCGATCAAAGACTAATATGCTAATGATACGCTAATGCCACTCAACTGCTTGCTATGACGTGCACTGAACACCAGGGGGCAGACGCTCTGACCAGTAGGTTAGCTTGCTGCTGGGGTCCGACTGATCGGGACTGAGCAAGATGGGCTGGAGACGCCCTGGAGCCCTCCATGGCCCTCCCCGGCTGGCCAACCTCTGGTGTCCCTCCTCGGCCTCTATCGTGCATGGGTGGGGTCTCTCGGCCTGGCAATCGCAATCCGGGACCCCTTGGGAGAGCTGGTTTTGGCCTGATCATGCAGGTCAGGCTGAGGGAACCCCACTGGTGCACGAATTTGTGCACCTGGCCTCTAGTAAGAATATAATAGAAACCTGGGTCACAAAATTTATCATTTTCACCATTTTTAAAGTTATAACTTAGTGGTTTTAAATAGATTCACATTGTTGTGCAAACATCAGGACTATCTATCTCCAGAACTTTTTCATCATCCCAAATGGAAACCTGGTACCCATTACTAGTAAGCACTAACTTCCCCATCCCTGTATCTCTATTCTGTTTTCTGTCTCTATGAATGCACTGACTCCAGGTATCTCATATTAGTGCAGTCACACAGTATTTGCCCTTCTGAGTCTGGCTTCTTTCACTTGGCACAATGTTTCCAAGGTTTATCTAAGTTGTAGCATGTATCAGCACATTTTATTCTCTTATGGCTGAATGTTATTCCATTATATGAGTGTACCACATTTTGTTATCCATTCATCTGTTAATGGAACCTCAGGTTGCTTCTATTTAGGGTACTATGAGATGCTATACAAACATTGGTGTACACGTTATCTGTTTGAGCCCCTGCTTTCAATTTCTAGGAGTATAATTAGGTATATACCTATGAGTGTAATTGCCACATCAGTTTGCTACTTTAAAAATCAAGCATCCTATATAATAAAGAGGTAATATGCAAATTGGCCATCACTCCAACACACAAGATGGCTGCCCCCATGTGGACACAAGATGACCTGCAGGTTAGGACAGTTAGGTGGGGGCCCAGGCATGCAGGGGAGGGCAGTTGGGGGGGACGAAGCCTGCAGGGGAGGGCAGTTGGGGGAGACCAGGCCTGCAGGAGAGGGCAGTTGGAGGCAACCAGGCTGTCAGGAGAGGGCAGTTAGGGGTGACTAGGCTGTCAGGGGAGGGCAGTTGGGGGTGACCTAGGCATGCAGGGGAGGTCAGTTAGGTGTGACCAGGCCAGCAGGGGAGGGCAGTTAGGGGCAATCAGGCTGGCAGGGGAGCAGTTAGGCACCCATCAGGCTGGCAGGGGAGTGTTTAGGGGGTGATCAGGCTGGCAGGCAGAAGTGGTTAGGGGCAATCAGGCAGGCGAGCAGTTGGGAGCCAGCAGTCCTGGATTGTGAGAGGGATGCCCGACTGCCCATTTAGGCCCGATCCCCTGTGGGGATTCTAAATTCTACTGATTTAGTCCCACAGGGATCGGGCCTAAATGGGCAGTCGGACATGCCTCGAGGAGTCCCAGATTGGAGAGGGTGCAGGCTGGGCTGAGGGACACCCCCCCACCCGTACACGAATTTCATGCACCAGGCCTCTAGTTTAAAATAAATTGCAATGGGATACCAAAACATTTAGGAACAACTAAAGGATGGGAAATGGACGCTATCGCTCTCATACAGGATTTCTTGTGGTGTATGTATGATCACCTTGTTTAAAGGGGTGGTGGGGAACTGAGAGAGTCATTAAAGCTTCTAATTCCAAACTTGCAAAGAAATAATAAGCAAAGAATTTATTAAAAGCTTTTCTAAATAATGGAACTCAGTAAGAAGAGTTAAGCTACTGTTCTGTAATAATTACTTATGCCATTCCTATAAATAGAAGACAAAAATCAGTGATTTTGATGATCTTCACTGTTTACTATTTAGCTTCATACAGAAAATATGGAAATGTGTAATTTAACATTTTACATGAAGAAACCATAAAAATCAAATAAGAGGTAAAAGAAAAATGCTAAAATACACAAGATTATGAAAATAGCCAGGAATATTAATGAAGCTTCTGCAAAAGACAATTATTCTTTTGACCAATCAAAAATCAATCTAGTAACTTAGAAGTTAAAAGATATTTAATGAAGTTCATCTACCTTCAACGTAGCTCACTTACCTGGATTTGGCTTGGGTCTTACATTTTCAGCCTCATCTCCATTAATGGTTACTGTCACAATGTGTGTGGTACAGTTTGACAAACCTGGATCCATACATGTAGCTATGGAGAGAAGCAGCAGGTATTCTTTACAGACACCAGTCAGATGTCATGTTTCATGACTTAAATGTCTTCAGAAGAAGACTGGTCTCATAATTCTTTAACACAGAATTGATGCAGGAAAACTAGTTTATACTAGTCAGTATATGCTGTAGGACTGTAGAGCATACAAGTAGTCAGTACTCACATTTTCCCCTGAGTTCCTGAGTAACATTTGGTAAGTCTGAGAGGTTAGATCAGGGGAGGGCAAACTTTTTGACTCGAGGGCCACAATGGGTTCTTAAACTGGACCGGAGGGCCGGAACAAAAGCATGGATGGAGTGTTTGTGTGAACTAATATAAATTCAAAGTAAACATCATTACATAAAAGGGTACGGTCTTAAAACCTCTAAAGGAGCATAGCATGTGCATAAGGTGTGTATACAATAAAGCTCAGATGTGAGGAACTCTGGAAGGCAACACAATTTCCTAATTCTTCTCCAGTTTCAGGGCCTTCCTGTTCAAAATTCCTCTCATTTGGAGGAGACAGGAAGTTTATGTGCCCAAATCTAATTAGGATTTCTCTTCAGTGAATTAGGTGAAATAAAAGTTATCTGAATTCTGCCCATAAAGAACACCCAAAGAATCAATCCTTTTATATACAGAAGAATCTACTGCTTGGCTAACAGTTTGTCCCCAGTGCACCCCTGGAAAGCAATACAAACCTGGAGAACATTCAGCAACATCACCTTTATAGCCAGTTTCTTCTTCCAGCTCTCGCAGAGCAGCTGCTTCTGGGCTTTCATTATCATCTATGAGACCTGGAAGTCCAAATCATTTGTGAGGTGGGAGACGGAAGTCCACTTTTCTTTGAGCCTCTCCTAACACAGCTGCTGCTGAGCTACGTGAGAAGAATCAGAGGATTGTGAAAAGTGGTCTTACAGATAAAGCTGAGGTTTGGAACTATTATAGGAAAAAAACCCTAGGCAGATTAAGTTGGTTCTGACAGTCCTCATCTATTCTCTTACTTAGACCAAGCATCTCAGCACTAACTACATTCTCTACAGCATAGGCAGCATCGATCTGTGAGGACAAGTGGCTTGGTGGTGCTGACTGGTCCAGGTTTTGGACCTAGCTATGTGACTACAGCACAGGAAGCCTGTTAACTTTGTTTCCTCTTATGTAAGATGGGGACAGTTGTTACCTATCCCACCTTCTCCCTCACAGAACAATATGGAGACCCTGTAGTGAAATGCCAAAATGAAGATCACTTCTGAGGGAGAAGGACAGAAAGGACAGAACTGAAGAATGGTGGACTTTAGGTAACTACTATGGTCATTGTGAGAAGTGGAGAGAAGTCAAATGGGAGGAGGACAGTAGCAAATCTGAGTCATTTTCCTGAAAGGAATAAAAATTGAACAAAGAAAGGTGAAATATAGGCTATTTTATTAATTTCCTTAGTGAAATGGCAAGTAAATGAGAAAGAAAATAAAGTTGTTAATTATACATTACAGAATGTGATGGTGTTTAAAAATATAAAACTTAAACCACTAATGATAAATGCGATCTAATCTCTTCTGATGAAACAAACCAATTAAATCCTATAATAATACAGTGCATACGTTCTAGATAGCTTAACTTACTGTGCAACTGAAAAAATATTTTAGTGGAAATTAAAACAATTTATTTGTCCTACATACATGCAGGAAGGTCAAGATATCTTTTCCATTCATAGTTTTTGGAATTTGGCCTAGTTATTACTATAAATTTCTTGTCAGAGGCAGATTGCTAGTGATAGAAGATGAAGTAAATTGACAAATTAGCGAAAAGCAATTACTCAAAAAGGCTAGAAAGAATGAGGGATAGAGGGCAAGTGGCTGGGAAAGAGGAGCTGTGACACCACCTTTCTATCACCTTATGGGTTATTGGACCAGGAGAGTGTGGCTGGAGGTACTTCACTACAGAAAAGGTTTTATTGAACTTAGAAGCCCAGGGACAGATACAAAGGTGTTAAATGTCTAAACGCTGCAGTACTCAGGCTCTGCCCTGGCTCTGTCCGACAAGTCCCAAGAAGCACTGTGTAGTGACTCACCTGCAGGGAATTCCAGGCAGTAGCTTCCCATGGGTGGACGGAACTGTTTCACCAGAATGATACATTCATAATGCAGAGTTCTTTGCAGTACTGGGATAATCATCACACCTGTCGCCAGGAAATAAAACGAAGTCTCTAATGAAAGGTCAGTCATGCTAGCAATCTGTTTACAGCAATCTAACTAAAACCCCATGTTTTAAGAGATGCTGCAGCTGAAATCTACCTTATTTTCGCCACTAGCAATAGGAGTTAAAAGCTACAGTACTGGCAGTGAACTTGGAAGTTATTCTCCCTTAGAAATGTAATTATAGAGTCTCCCTGGCTGGTGTGTTAAGTGGTTAGAACATTGGCCCATCCACTGAAGGGTCACAGGTTTGATCCCTGGTCAGGGCAGATACACAGGTTGTGGGTTCAAGCCGCGGTTAGGGCAGGTGTGTGAGGCAATTGATCAAGTTTCTCACTCACATTGATATTTCTCTCTCCTTTCCCCTTCTTCTCTCTCTAGATTCAGTGAAAAAACATATCCTTGGGTGAGGATTTTAAAAAATGTAATTAAAGAACAAGCAATCACACTTCCATGTTGTTTATAAATCAAGTGAGTTACTTGGCCTTACAACAAAAACAAAACCCCACTGGGTTCTAGAAAACACAAACTGCCCAGAAGTACCCCCGCCTGCCAATACTTTCCCAGCTGGGAAAAACAGCATCATGCAATTACTCTGTTTGCTTCCAATAAAAAACAGAAGGGGAAAATAAAGACGTATTCTCCAACTTCCCCTAGACCAGAGGTGAATTTCAGGATTGTTTCTGGGACCTTTGCAGTCAAACCATTCACTCTTGGGAGGGTAGGTAAACTGAATGAATAGTTGTTTCTTAATCCCATTTCCTTATCCTATATAATAAAAACCTAATATGCTAAGTGTCTGGTCGGCTGTTCAACCAATCAAAGCATAATATGCTAATGATATGCTAAGGCTGCTCAACCGCTCGCTATGACGTTCACTGACCACCAGGGGGCAGATGCTCCAACCGGTAGGTTAGCTTGCTGCTGGAGTCCGGCCGATCGGGACTGAGCACGACAGGCCACACATGCCCTGGAGCTCTCCAGCGATCCCGCCCTGGCTGGCCAACCTCCTGTGTCCCTCTCCAGCCTCTACTGTGCACCAGTGGGGGTCCCTTGGCCTGGCCTGCATCCTCTCGCAATCTGGGACTCCTCGGGGGATGTCGGAAGCTGGTTTTGGCACGATCCTGCAGGCCAGGCCAAGGGAATCCCACTGGTGCATGAATTCGGGCACCAGGCCTCTAGTCAACTATAAACCACATGGCTAAAAGTGTGAAGTAGTGCAAATAAGTTTTCCAAACTAAAGGCTCTCACTTAGGTCCTTTGAACAGAATACAAAGGATTTCTATGAGTTGTATCATGTCTAGACACAGTATGTTGCTTCAAATTCTATTGAGTTGTGCCTGGCTATAAATATTAGTGTACATCTTTCCCTCAAAAACACTGTTTGGAGCTTAGATAACAGGAGCCAGAAGTTATTTATAAAGAAAGCTCGACTTAGTTACACAGCATTGCAAAAACAAATATTAGATTTAAAGATAAAAGATCATAATTGAAGGTAACTCTGCCCTGAGATCTTGGTGACAGTAAAAAAACCCCAAACCAAAACAAAACACAACCCTCCTGCACCTCGCCTACTACAAATAACGTGTGGTAACTTCTCTCAGGAAGAGTTATAATAGGTTTGCACTCATACCATCAGCCGACTGTCCTTTCCTGGTTGCACGTTTCACAGTTTCCCAAGTTCTGTTTAGGCAAAAAAGAAAAAACAAAATCAGCAGTGCCAAAGAGGAGAATACTCTTAGGTTTTTGTGTGTACAGCAAGAATTTTACAAATGCAGAGCATGCAAATGTACAAATGGTCAACAAGACCAAACAGTAAAGATCTGTATTTCTTTAAAAAGCCAGTTGTGCTGTCTTACAGCTTTTGAGAAGGACCAAAGAAAACCTGCCACCGAGCATTTAGCTCTCTGGGTGCTGTCACTTGAGCTGCCTTTCAAGTCAATACTCAAAAAACTTTAGTTTGGATCATAAATCTACAGGGGAGCAGCACAGTGGGTGACAATGGCTTTCGAAGCTGTTGAGCAGTGTGTGCGCACAATAAGCTCCTATGAAAAAAGGATACGCTGCATAATGAGAACTATTGAGCTGGATATTTATACAACTTAGATTTTAAAATCTGTGACCTAAAATACACAATTTAAGAAAGCAAGACCTTTCCATTTATTAACTGAGGAATCCTTAAATTTAGGAGAGTGCTCTACTGTATGTGTGTGACTTCTTATCTGAGAGGAAAATGTCCCTAGAGGAGAATGAGGTAACAGCAGGTTCTTGCTCCTGTTTAAGGCTTTATTCCTAATTAGCTATTTGTTTCAGGAGAACACTGTACTGGAAATCCAGTTATTGGAACAATCATGTTGTTTACAGGGGAAGGGCATATGAGAGAAATTCTCCCTTCACTCTCATCCCTTAAATAAGAAAAAGCAGTGGTAAGAGATGGGAGTGAAGAAGGACATGATTTTGGATCTAAGAGAAGACACCTGAGTGGCTCTGGAATTGGGATAAGAAAGGCATCAATAACGTCTTACTACGGTAACAGTGAGTATAAGTTTTGTTACTTGGAGCAAGCCTCATACTTCGTGTCTGGTTTGAGGTTTGGATCGTGCCACACTTATATTTTGAAAAAAATTCAGATATTTAATCTAGTTAAAAAACACACAACTTTCTGTAAACTAGATCTTTCAGTATTGTATCCAAATTTTACAGGGCAAATATGTTAAAATGAACCTATGAAAATCAAAGATGACTATGACAACTCACAGCTGCCAACATTCCTGTTAGTAACAAGAAGCCAACCAACAAGCAATTCTGATGTCAGTAATACAGACTGCAAGAGACATAACACCTTTTGTATAGCTCTCTCTGCTGCCTCTTAAGATTAGTCCTAAGGACTGAAGAAGACAGTGCTGGGAAAAGCACTGAAGGTCCCATCCCCAGTACACTAGGAATAAGGGAAAAAGAGTAGCATCATTATAGTGGTTAAGATGAGATAAATAAGCAGTAATAAGCCATCAATTATGAGCAATAAAATATAAGTGCATTTATAACAAACAATAGAACAAGAATGCCCCATGAGGGCTCTAATTATCTTAAAGGGACTCTGAGATATGTACATTGGGTTGAGTAAGAAAATCTTAAGTCTCCAATTACCTACTAGCTAACCCATAGCCACAACCTCCTTGAGAGTTTTCTCATTTGTAAAGCTAGGGAATTAAGAGCATGTTACCTCGTAAACCTCTTGTAACTTTAGATTCTAATTAAAGTTACTCCATTTTTTAGCTTGTTATAGGAAAGCCCATTTTGTTTTCTTCTCTCTAGTCAAGCAACACAAGAGGATGACTTCAATTCTGTCCTGAATGCCAACAAAAGGGCATAATGCCAGCATACTTTTATACTTCTAAAATTAATTCCATAGCCTCTTCCATGAATCAGACAGTGAAACCAAGGATTCTATAGCTGCTATTTTATCCTCATGTACATGCTTTTATATCAGGTAACAGATAAAACATTTTATAAATTTATAAACTGGCCTACTGCAAAGTACAGCACTTCATTCTCCCAAGCTTCACATTCTGTATGAAATGCCAGTGCTTCATGAAGACCTCTTTGGAGGCCACGAGGAAGACCTATGTGAGGAAGACCTATGTGAGGAAGACTGGAGGTGAACATGCTCTAAGTAGGCCATGTAAGCATGGCAGTTGGGTAGACTTTAGAGCAGCCGTGGGCAAACTACGGCCCGTGGGCCGGATCCGGCCCGTTTGAAATGAATAAAACTAAAAAAAAAAAAGAGACCGTACCCTTTTATGTAATGATGTTTACTTTGAATTTATATTAGTTCACACAAACACTCCATCCATGTTTTTGTTCTGGCCCTCCGGTCCAGTTTAGGAACCCATTGTGGCCCTCGAGTCAAAAAGTTTGCCCACCCCTGCTTTAAAGCCTGCTCCCAAACTACTGAAGCAGACTCTCCTTAGTCACTGAGAACTAAAGAGTATTTTGAAAATAATCCCTGAATGATGGATGCATATCCCCAGTTATAATGCTGGAAGGAAGAGTGAGGTGAAGAAACTAGCTGTTGCAAACCAACACATGCTTCTTAGCTAACTGGTGTGAAGGGTTTTATTTGGTGTTATAAACTTAACTTCATAGGGAAGAGAACCAAACAATATCAGTATAAATTGGGGTCTAATCTTTGTCTATAGTTTCATAAATATAAGTACATTGGAACATATTGTGCTCCTTATGGTTTTAGGCCTTGCCACATTTCTGAATCATCTATTTTATTCATATTTAGTTCTATACATCAAACTCACTTTACATAATAGGTAATATACTCTCTGACTGTGTTGTTGGATTGTAGTGTGCTTAGTATTCTATAGGGTTTTAATTTAACAGTGCTATGTATTTCTCCAACACTAGGCCTTATTAATATTTTTGCTAGTTTAATAGATATAATCAAAAGTTGTTTAAATTACTGGCAAGTCCATGTACTTTTGCACTGATGATAGATGTATTTCCTCACAAAGAAGCTGTATTCTTATTTGATCACTTAAATGGAGTTTTAAAAAATTTTAAATTGATTTTTAGAGAGAAAGGAAAGGAGAGGGAGAGAGAACAAAACATCAATCAGCTGTCTCCTGAACAACCTCTACCCAGGATTGAGCTTGCTATCCAGGCTTGTGCCCTCACCAGGAATCAAACCAGCAACCCTTTCAGTGCCCAGGACGATGCCCAACTAACTAAGCCAAGTCAGCCTGGAATTAAATGGAAATTTTATATTAATAAATTTAAATTATATAATCTAGATACTCAATTTAGTTACATTTTTGTATTTTCTCATTCTGTTTTATCCCTTTTTATATTTCATTAAGTAAATGCTTAATCTATTTAATACATTTTTCCTGATGCTCATAAAAAGTTACTAAACAGAAAATCTGAAAAAAAGGTTAATCATACAGCTGCCCTATATATTTTCCTACTAGCTTTTTTTTTTTTTTTTTTTTTTTAAATGATTTGTTATTGATTTTTTGAGAGAGAGGAGGGAGAGGGAAAGAGATAAACATCAATGTGAGAGTAGAACATTGATTGGCTGCCTTCTGCAAGCCCACTACAACCCAGGCATGTGGCCTGACTGGGAATCTAACCATGACCTCCTGGTTCATCGGTCGATGCTCAACCACTGAGACATGCTGGCCAGTACTCTAGCTTTTTCTTACACGTTATTTGGCAGAGTTTAAAAAGAATATATACAATTTTCTTTTTCGTTACCAAGTTACTAATTTTTTCTCATATTGCTAGGTTGTCTTCATAATCTGTTTTGTGGATGGATGCATAAATTTTACCAAATGAATACACTAAAATAATTATTCCCCATATATTTAGAATGTTTAGGTTGCTTTCAAATTTTTTTTTTTAAAGTTTTGATGAACATCTTTTAGGCACAAAACTGATTCCAAATAGTTTTCTTAGCACAGTCTCAGACCCCATGGTGACCTGGCTCCAAACAGCTCCGCCCCAACCATATCTTTATGGCAATTGATACATATTGTGAAATGCTTTATAAAACATTTTCTTTTCCAATTTACATTTCCATAAGCAAGGTTTACTAGTAAGCATGTAACTTTTACCTCAAACACAATGTTTCCTCTTTAATTCTTATTTAGAGGTTAGAATTGGTTTAATTAGAAGGAAGGAACCTGTATTGTTAATTATTTTGCTGCTTTATCAGCTTAAATTAGCCTTGTCCCAAAAGTTTTAGGTTCACACTAATCTACCTGGGGAGAATGGTGTTAAAATAGTTTCCTGACTAGCTATTGTAACAAATTTACAAATTTATAAATATGCATAGATTGTAAGTTATTCAAACATTCTAACAATAAGAAAACAGCTAAATTAGATTTCTCTATAACTAGAGTTTCCAATGAAGAAAATATCAAAATTTATGCCAAATACTAAATAGAGAATTTGAGAACCCCCAATACCAAGCATTTTACAAAAGAAAAAATATAGTTTACCTCGTTTTACCAGTAGGATCCATGTAAGTTGTTTTTTCAAACTTGACCCATTTTCCTTCTGCAATTAACTAAAAGGAGATGAGACGACAGATGAATTGGGAAGCTTTCAAAATGAGTTTTTTATTTAGAAGAGTTTTCTTTTCACATTGTCTCTGTATGGCCTTCCCAATTATCACACTTCCCTTCCAATAATTCATGTGCATGTTTTCAGTTGAGTATATTAAACATTGTTTTCCTGAAGGGTGGTTCTATTTCTATTTGGAGTTTCGGAGGTAGTACTGAGAGGTGAAAAGAAATGAGTTGAAAACTCTTGGGGTTGGGGTGGGGAGGGAAGACCAGAAGGTAGCAAAAAGGAATGAGGGCTTCTTTGGGATGCTTCTCTTATTCTGGCCTCTGATCTGGGTGCTAGTCACATAGGTGTATATGTTTAGTATGTGAACACATCAGTGGCATTTTATTTTCAATGACTATACAACAAGCATGTCAAACTCAAAGGCTAACATGGGCCGCAAAAAAACAAAAGCTTCAATTTTCACAGAAACGTAGGTTTATTTCAATAGAGACATGCTGAATACAAAGGGCTGAAATAAATGAGTAATCGTTAACATAAAATAATAGAACGTTTAAATAAAAATTATCATTTTTTCTTGAACATTAACTTACCAGACACTGAATAACTGCACAAATTAATAAGCGTAACGCAAATAAACCTATTTTTCTTGTTCTCTGAAAGCGAAATATTTCCCGTTTCGCACACTGAACAAGTCAGTCCAATGACGTGGCAATCGGCTGCTAAAATATTCGCTAGTATTAGTGGAGAGAAATGGTGCACCTGCGCGTAAGGTGTGTAAGGGAGATGAATGCAACATGATTATAGTAATCAGTCATTAGCGAACGTTGTAGTTTGTTATTAATAATTATGTATAACAGGATACTGTAAGGATTAAGTTACGAAATTTTTATTAAAATGTTTCTTACATACCGTTATATTGGCTGGGCTGCAAAATATTTATTGTGGGCTGCGAGTTTGACATGCTTGCTATACAACAAAGTTGACTGTGGGGAAACCATGTCCAATGACTGGATTTCTAATAACGACGCACGGATTTCCCACCCAGTCTGAGTGGCACCCTCAGCATGGTTCTGCCTAGACGTTCAGTTTTGGTTCCCAGGACTAATTACCCATGGCACGGTACTGCACTCACAGCAAAGTGTCACTGTGTACATAAAGCCGTTTATAGGCTTCTGCCTATCCTCTCTTTCACTTTATTCTTTAATCCTCACCCAAGGATATGTTTGTTGATTTTAGAGAGAGGAAGGGGGAGAGATCCATTGATGTAAGAGAGAAACATCATCGGTTGCCTCCTTTATGCCTCCTGGCCAGGAATAAAACCCACAACCTTTTTGGTGTACAGGACAACATTCAACCAACTGAGCGCCCGAAGGCCCGTCTTTCACTTCTTACCAGAAACAACCTACCAATTACCAGAAGATCTAGTCACAAATAACATGGAGAAATTTTTATTTTATTTATTTTTTAAACAGGAAAACAGTCAGATTTTTATTTTCACATGTTATTTGCAAATACACAATTACAATAATGTCACACATCCCCTATTATGATTTTTTTATGTATTTTACCTTTTTTTAAAATAAAGTGTTCAGAAGGAGGGCTATAACAACATTTAATAGGATAGTTCTATAGAATAACAACTTATATTAAGTCCTTGTAAAAATCTGACCTCTTTAAAACATTTAACTGGAATATTCATTTTTTAGCTTTGGTAATCAAAATTGTTTTAAGAATTAAAACTAGGTTGTAACTAATATCAGTATATAATAGTGACTACAAATTCATTTTTTCTTTATACAAATATATTTTATTATATTCACTTGACCAAACCCTTAAGCAGCGGTTCTCAACCTGTGGGTCACAACCCCTTTGGCGGTCAAACGACCCTTTCACAGGGGTCACCTAAGACCATCCTGTATATCAGATATTTACATTACGATTCATAACAGTAGCAACATTACAGTTATGAAGTAGCAATGAAAATAATTTTATGGTGGGGTAACAACATGAGGAACTGTATTTAAAGGGCCAGGAGGTTGAGAACCACTGCTTAAGTGCCCTTTAAAGGTTTCAATATTTTGCTTCAAAAAGAAAAGAACTGTGCATGGTTCCAGACTATGTAAGAGAAATATAAAGTGTGATTAGCTTTAAAATGAATTTTCTGCTTCAAGGCTAACATCTCCACAAACATCTGTAGAAGTATTGTTGGGTAGGCCCACTTTAAGATGCCGTGCATTGTGTGCTGGTTCTTGTTTTTAAAAATGTATTTATTTATTTTTACATATGCTTTTTACTGATTTTAGAAAGAGAGGGAGAGGTTGAGAGAGAAACATTGATGTGAGAGAGATACATATATCAGCTGCCTCCTGCATGTCCCTTATAGGGATTGAGCCTGCACACTGACATGTGCCCTGACTAGGAATCGAACTGGCGACCCCTTGGTGCACGGGACAATGCTCTACCAACAGAGCCACACTTGCCAGGGCTGTGTGCTGGTTCTTTTCTGAAGGTCTTAGGAACCCCTTCTTGCAGTACTCACAATTGTAAGGGTAATCCTTCATATGAATGGAAAAAACATGCTGTTTAAAGCCTGAGACATCTGTAGTGCTATACTCACAGTACTCCACTGATCACTTTCCTCCACTGTCTGTCTTCATATGCTTTTTAAGCTCATTCTGTTGCTTAAATCTCTTTCTACGTCTCTTACGCCTAAATGGAAGCTCTTTTGTATGAACCAAGATAGTATGGCAACTTAGAACAAATGGATCCACAATCTTAAAGTCACAATGTCTACAAGGGTTCATTTTTTAAACTTTGTGGGCAGGCCACGTTTCTTGAATTCTGACCCCCTATGAAAGCCTTTATCAACATGTCACACTTACGGCGGTAGTTCTTCATGTGAACGGAAATTATGTGTTCAAAATCATTTGAGTTCAAACTCTTGTGATCACAATGCAAACACTGGTATCTTTCTTGGTGAATAAGAGCATGTTACCGCACCTTTTCGGTCTCTAAAAATGTCTAAAGACAACTGTTACACTTGAATGGCATATCTTTACTATGCTTAGTTTTTACATGCATTTTCAAAGTAGAAGAGTCTGCAGAACTATATTTGCAGTACTGTCATTGGATGGCTTCTCCTCAGCTGGATTTGAATGTGCTTTTTGAGCTCTAATGGGTGACAAAAACCTTTACCACATTCCATGCAAATATGAGAAAGTTCTTGCTGTGAACCCCATTTTGTTGGCTCCTTTTTCCTTATGCACCATTTTGTGGGTAAACAAAGCCCCAGCATGAGAGAAATGCGTCCCACATTCATTGCATTCAATGGCCTTCTCTGTCTTGTTGGTCAGCTTATGGCTCTCCAGGTATTTCTGCAAACGTCTTTTTCTTGTTGGTAGTATAATCACAGTCAGTATAGCAGTATTTCTTCTTGACAAGCTATTCAGGATGGTTTTTCATGTGCTTTTTCAAAAAAACCTCTTGACAAACATTTTCCCACAAATCATGCAAGGACAGAGAGTCAAGGGATGTCAATCAGGGCCAATTATTATTGTTGTTTGGTACTACCTGGAATCAGGTCTTCTCCTTCTCTTTGGTTTTTATTTAGTCAGTCTGCTGAGCCTGGTGGATTCATGTATGTGCAAGAGGGCACTTGCAGTGCCATTCCAGTTTTCAGTTCCATGAGAATTATTACAGTAAGCTGCTGCCACACTGGCATGAAGGTTTTTATTTAATTGTCATCGATTTGCTGTTTTTGTGCGGCAGCTGCTGCCACTGCTGCAGCAGCACTCTCTTCTCCTACAATTACTTCCATAATAAACTTCATCAGCAATTTCAGCAACATTTAAATCTTCATCTTCTTGCTGAGAGTCATTGACAGTCACATAAACCATCTTTTCTCTTGGCAAATGAATACTGCTATTCTGATCAAGTAGTTCAACTTCATAATCATTCGCAGACTCTCTCTCCACAATGTCTATGGTGCTACCCAAGTCATCTTCTCCAGGGTCAGCCTTAAAAATGTACACTTCGATGACTTCAGGGCAGGTGCCATCCACTTCACAAGGATTGATTTCTGACTCTGAGCCCGAGGTCATTCCAGAGGAACTGTCATTCTATTTTGCCAGCATCATCTCTGGAATTTATAAGGTATTCCTCACACTTGCTCTTGTCATCATCCTGCTCTTCCACAGGGACCCCATTGGCATCTATAATTGCTTCAGAGGTACACTGCTACCAGTACTTCTGAAACCACATCAGTTGTCAGAGGATCAGTGACGATTTCTGCCTCTACTACACTATCATGAATCCCATGTTCAACGTGTCCAACACAAGACACATGTATAAATTCAGTTGTCAAGATGTGTTCTGGTATAGACATTAATGCTGAATATCGGGAGCTAAAACAGCATCTGGGACTGTTTACTGTTCCACAGAAACTTCTTCAGTTACATCTGAATCCAGCACTTGCTCAGGATAATGATGACTGTTTCAGATACATCTGTTTCTTTCATGATATCTAAACATCTTCAATAACAACATCCCCAATAACATTTTGGATTACAACTGAATCTGAGTCATATGAACAAAGTTATGCACAGTATGTCTGAATCAACAACATCTGAAATAAAAACAATTTCTCCTACTTCCACGATAAGTTGATCACCATCCAGGTGTGCAGCATCAGTTCCTCACAAGACTGTTGTGATGATCAAATGAGAAATGTATGGGAAGTGTTCTGAAAAATTGTTGCATCAAAAAAGAGTTTGGGAAGATAAAAAATGGAGGCAGAGAAAGAGGATGCTGCATGGACATGCTCCCAGGAACAAGGTGGAATTACAACTGAAATAATGAAAGGCTTCCTGAATAACCAATGGAAAACTCACAGGAAGAGAACCCTGATACCCAAGGACCTAAGGTGAAGACCGCATAGAGACTGATCGGAGGAATGGAGGCGTGAAAGGGCTGGCCGGGACACCCAGAGAGGGCAAC